CGCGTCCAGTCGCCTAGCCGCTCGTCGCTGCTGCTGTTGTCTCCTCTAGCGTATCTCGCGTCTCGTTGACTCTCGTCGCTTCGCTCCCCGTGTGTGTTTGGTCTCCGCTGCAGGGGCCGCTGTTTTCGTTCCGCGCGCTCTCGGCCAACGTCTCTTTCTCTTCGCCCGTTGTGTGTACGACGACGACGAACACACCAACTCACGCGCAACGCAACGCTAATTCGCGTGTGGACGCGCCGACGCACGCACACCACCAGAGCGTCGCGAAGGTGTCACCTCTGTGCGTTGCGCGTCGCGCGCCAGCTGTTTTGCGCGATTTTAAACACGCGAAATTGATGATTGAGCTGATTGGAAATTTGTTTCAGAGCGGGATTAGTGCGACAGAAGCGGCGACACGCGTGACGAAATTTTAATCGTCGTCAAAACGTACACGACATGCGCATACTAGATATTTTCCTGTTTGTTCTACTACGACAATTAAATATACTGTTTTCCCTGGATATAATGACATGTTTGTGTAAAGAGCGCAATAAGTACTTTGTTGACTAGGTATTTACAACAACATACTCAGTTTGTCGGAAATGCGATGGAAAATAAATCGGAATTATGGCGTCGGATAATGGATTCCATTACAACACTTGGTTAGATTTGAAGTTGAATATAGAGGTGAACGCGCAGAAATCCCGCATTCTGATTGGCTTACCCTTAGCTGTCATTTAAATCAAGATCATATATCAGACATGGATACTTCATAGTTCATAGCTCTTATGACACTTTCAATACACAGGAACAAAAATAGCACCTATCAACCACCATATTAGTACATATTTTAAATTTACCGCCAAAAGTCTGCACACAAACCTCTAACATTCTACGTCAAATCGGGTTCATCCACAACCAATACTTGCCATACTATCCATTCTCCAGCTGTACAATAGGTTGCCTAACGTAAAAGGTGAAGTATAAATTGGTCGCGCATCTCCCGCTACATACGCAGAAGTTGTGGGAAGTTAAAGTGTAATTAATTCGGTACATTGGTAATCTCGTCTATAAACACCGCGACCTGCTTACCGCAGTTGCGCACCGTTCCTGGCCTGGAACGGGTGTCGTGGGGTTATCGGCAACAACCACGATCAGTTAATTCCGCGATCACGTAAGTTAAAACTTGTTTTTTTACAATTAATTTCGCATTGACCTCTTCGCATTGTAGTTTTCTTAACTGGAAAGTAACTTACATTAACGCGGCAGGAATTTTGTCAAGCGGCAAGCGACAGGTGCAGCAATTGAAAGTAAATTTCTACTTTCATATTTTCACGGCATCAAGCAATTGTTCTTTTAGTTGCTGTTGACACTGCAATTGTAAGAAACGTTTCGTCATCGCAACTTATCTCAATTCGGATGTAAGTTGAAATATTTGCGCGCCGTATTTGGTGGCCATAAATTATAAAATCACACCTGCGACGTGTGTGTAATAATAAATCATGGGCTTATTGACATACTAATCTAAATAAACTGTAAATTTTTAGCATGGACAAAATACGAGAGGAGACAATTCGTGACTTGCGCTGTTGTTTGGTGTTTGCAAAAGAAGCTTTGGAAATAAATCGACTTGCTGCTGATTATAAAACATATACAAAACATAATATTCCACTTAAACAATTAGGGTTTGAGAATCTGGAGGAGTTTTTACAATCGGTGGAGTCGTTTGTTGTGCGCAAAGAGGCTAACGGACAAATTTTAGTGGAAGCTAAGACTTTACCGCATATTTCCAACATGGCGGCGCGCCAGAATACAAAACATAAAAAGCGGAGTAATATCACACAAGATCCCAAACGATGGCGGCCTGTGGATACGCTGAAAAAGAATTATCACTATCGCAACTCACCGCGTCTTGCACAACACAATCAATTTCTCACTAGTTGCGACAGGAGAAATAACAATAACAATGTTATACATGTAACACCACGCGAGAAATCAAAATGGAGTAGTGAATTTGTTGAAAGCGGCAATATCGGTAAAGATTTATGGAATTTCACTCGGTTTTGTCGCATTGCTGAGCCGCAAATCACTGTGATGGAACGCAAAAGCAAACCGAACCGCCCGGCACAATTTGACTGCAAAATAAAGGTACAACAATAACAAATTAACATTCATAAGAGTATATTATTATGTTTTAAGGTGGACGGTGAGAGTATGTCCAGTTTTCCGGATGATTGCTTCGATGAGCGTTCGGCTACTCTAAGTGCATCAAAAAAAGCGCTCGAGAAACTCATCAAAAAGTACGGCCGAACGCGACCACAACACATTCCCGTTTCAACCGAGAGTTGCGTCATTGAACGCGTACCACAATTTATTAGTAAACATTTCAACGGTGTGTGGAGTTGGCAAGTCGAAGCGGATTACAAGGATGTTTATCAAGAAGCGCTGCCTGCAAACTGGATGAAAATCATTGAGGAGCAAGCGATACATTCGATTGTTATCGAACAGATTGGCGATAAGTTTATTCTACGTGCTTGTACACCAGGTATAAACACGAAACATACATCTATGATTATTAGTGATGTATGTGTGCCAACCAGCACGGCTGATTTCAACGAGAAAGGGTACATGACAGCAAAAATCACTTATACTGTGTCTGCAGCGGAGATTTGGTGTCGGCAGATGGACACACACGATACTACTTTGTTTGATGTAATGCAGAAGCAGTTTAATGATACTTACAACAAACAATTCGAGCAGAAATTGATTAAATCTGTTGGTAAGATTATTGAAGGTAATTATTATGCGGCGTGGAAGATTGACAGCGGATGGCATCGTGTACGTGCTTTAGAAGTACACCAAACTGATGCAAAGTGTTTGTGTCTGTTTGTTGATATCGGTGAAGATTGTTTAATTAATTTCGGGGATATTTATGCACTGCATATGGACTTTGCGCGCGTACGTGCGCAAGCGTTTGCTTGTAAATTAACAGGACTAGACGCACTTTTCGATGTCTCACAAGATTCGCAAGCTATTAGAGATCTGCAAGGAATGGATGTGACACTGGAAGCTGTCGGTGGTGATGATGAGGAAGACGTGCAGAAAATATTCAGTGTTGTCATGTATGATTTGGAGACTGGTCAAGCGTGTAATAAAGATTTGATGATCTCGATTGCGGTGGAAAATGCAACACATCATTTTGAAACTGTAAGTGTACGTAAAATATTAAAACATAATAGATAATTTTATGTATTATTGTTTTAGGATAAAACTTATGAGGTTTTGTTTCGCATATTGGTATTAAGAGCATGTTTTACGTGCAAATTCGTTCTGTTGGCTACGACTCCATGTTGAATTTGATAAAAGATCTACAGGGTGATTTACCACAACAACAGATAACTATTACACGTGAAAACAGCATTGGTAAATTATATTTTGCCAAATTAGAAGATGGTTGTCATCGTGTAAGGATTATCGACTCGTCGCCTAATTTTGAATATGCGCAATTACTCTACGTGGATGTAGGCACTACTAAAGTTGTTCCTATCAACAACACACAGTTAATACCTTTGGAAACACTAAGTCCAGCTTTAAATAGATTCCCTCCGCAAGCTACACTCGTCAGTTTGCATTCCGAAAGCAAACTTATCGTTGATGATTTTGTTGATAAAATAAAGGAGTTATTACCGCAGGAACAAAGTGTTCTTATGCGTGTGCAAGATATACACGAGGACGTGCCTAGCGTGATGCTTTTTATACCGAATTCGAATGGATTAGTCTCTGTTAATGAGCGATTATGTGATCAGAAAACTTTTATTACACCACCGGATTCCCCGCATAATGTACCTTCAGCGGGTGTTTTACAATCACCACGATTGCCTAACATGCGCGAATATTTCGAGGTGAAGATTCCGTTTGCGGTGAATCCGTGGAATTTTTTCGTCCAGCCTTTGGATTCAGCGCAGCAGTTGCGCGATATGATGACGCGTATGCAAGCGACGTTTGCGAATCGACACACGGAGCCGGTTAATCTTAAAGATGTCTCAGCTGGAAATATTTACGCAGCGAAACATGACGATGGTAAATGGTGTCGGGTCTGCGTGCTGAAGACGATTTATCCCAGCGCCATTGTTGTTTTTTATGTGGATTACGGTTACTATGCTAATCTGGGTTATCAGAACTTGTTTGCGTTGGATAAGCAGTTTCTGGAGTTGCCTTATCAGGCAATCAAAGCTAAACTAGCAGGTAGTTTCTTTTTTATGTTTATTACGCGTATATTAATTTATTTTTGTTAGGTGTCAAGCCAATTCAAGAGAAATGGTCTGTGGATAACTGTCGGTACTTTGAGAATTTGGTGCAGCAGCGGGAATACGTGTCGGTTATTATCGCAATCGAAAAAGACGAGCTTTATCCTTGCGATAATGTTCTCGTACTGAAACTTATCGACACGAAGTCGTCCGGCAAAGATGTGCTTATTGACGATTTTCTTATTCGGAAGAAGATTGCTGTCAAAGGCTAGTTAATTATTTATTGAGAATAAGACTTATGTATGCAGAGATTTATTATTGTTATACGTTGTTATTTGTTATGCAATATTTTATAACTTTGTTTATATTCGAACAGTTTGAATTAGTGACGTAGTGGGAGGTAACCATGCACGAATTGGCGCGTAATTTGAAATTTGGATCATATACATAACTTTTATATATGATAACTTTTATAAAATATTTACCTATAATGTTTTCTACATTGATTTGAAATATAAAATATCCATATCATATATATGATCAAATTTTAAAACTTGAGCCAATCAGAAGCAGGTATTTCTGCACATCAACCTCTGTCAACGTCTAATCGGGTCATTATTACATGACAACCTCTGTTTTTAGCCAACTGTCAGTTATGCAACCAGCCAATTAGAAGCGGGTATTTCTGCACATAAACGTATAACTTTTAGTTTTTAATTAGGTCATTTTATTATACAACTTTTAATTTTAGTCATTTGCCATTTATGCTGACAGCCAATCAGAAGCGGGAATTTCTTCACCTATACCTTTAATCAACTCCGGTTAAATGGAGAATCCATTTTTTTGGCGCCAACTTTATTTTCTGCTGTCAGATGTCGCCAGCCATCCCAACAACTTGTGCGTTTGTTTGACTGCAGGCACGAAAATTGAAGTTGTGAGCGCAGCGACGAGCACGTTTTCCTTTATTAGTTCAACGTTTGTTTTCGGTGATTTAAATTCAGAGCCACTCCAACTGCGCCATGTCGGCGGATATTAACTTTGAGACGATGACGATGGACGAGTACAAGAGCATGAAACAATTCGACATAACCTTTGGCATTGTACCAACCAAATTCGGCCAGTGCCTCATTGGCACGCACGACACCAAAATCTGCTACATGTCTTTATTTGACGAAGGTAATCAATTCACCTGCTTAAATACCAGCTCATTTTAATGTAAATTTCATGCTTTAGGTAAAGATAATTCCGCCATTGACTTGCTGCAACAAGACTGGCCCAATGCTAAACTCAAAGAAGACACCAAGACTGTAGAAGACCTAGCAAAAAGTATTTTCAGTAGAGTTGAGCAGGATAGCAATGATTCCACAGAAAGTGCAGATTCAGCTCCTGAGGCAGCAGCAGATGAGGACAAATCTGCTGAGCAGAAACCAAAACTCAATGTACTGCTCAGGGGCACTGAGATGCAGTGCAAAGTGTGGAAGGAGCTGACTAAGCTCAAAGAAGGCACAACTTCAATTATGAACAGATCGCCAAAGCCGTTGGTAATCCGCGAGCAATTCGCGCCGTCGCCACAGCTATATCAAAGAATAAGATAGCGTATGTGATTCCGTGCCATCGCGTCGTGCGCAAAACCGGCGCGCTCAGCAAGTACCGCTGGGGCCCCGAACGAAAAATGAAGATTCTCGAGTGTGAGGGCGTCGCCGAGCAGTAACCCACCAACAACCAACGATTACCATTACGTTTACATTTAGATTTATAGTTTGTATACCAAGGAGACACGCAAAGCAAATTTATTTTCTTAGTTATTAACTGAAGGCAGTGTTCACTCGCAGCGGAGGCAATCCCATACATCCTACATCGTCAATTCCATGAAAAGTTGTTTAGGTAGTGATATCGCACGTGTTGACTCGTGTAGTATCATTTTACACCGCCAGATGTCGCTAGCGGTATTGAATTGAATATATTCCAACCACACAGTAGTATTTTGGACCACTAGGTGTCGCTAGCTGTATTGAAATTGGAATATTAATTCAACTGCCCATGTGTTAACCTCGTCGTTTATGGAAAGGAAACGACTAGAAACATCTCGAAGTTTTAGTTTCTCGATTGTTTTGTATAAAACAGCGTGTCACCAAGCAGTCCAAAACACAGTCTCATTTAAATTGTGTTTGTAATCACATCTCACTCATAGTAAGTTTGCATTTATTCATAAATATTTATTAAACACTTTTTGTTTCTGTAGATAATGCCAGGCGTTCCAGAAAAAGCACGCAGATGCTTCAGGTGATCAAATTCCACAACCCAGGCAGCCACAGAATCTGCAAGGTCTATTAAGGTTTGCAATGGAAGCACAAGATGGTGCAACACAATCCACACCACAACTCAACCACTTGATGATGAAAGAAGAAACTTCCTGCAAGCAGCCCTGCAATCTATGTCAGTTGATGTGATTGCAATAATGAAAGAAAACATTACCAAACTCCAGCAGGTGGAAGACATTAGTGATGATAAAGTACCTGAGATGATTGAAGCATTTGATTGTATACTGGATTATATTGATAACATTGACATTGCCAATGATTTCCATAAGATCAATGGCTTCTCCATCTTTGAGCCATGCTTGCGCTGTAAACACGACGAGATCCGCGCGCGCGTTTGTGATCTCATCGCGGAATTATCGCAGAATAATCCGTACATTCAGGGCGTGATTTGTGAATGCACGAATGTCCTGCCGAAATTATTGAATACGCTGCGGCATGATGAATGCCAGATTGTGAAGATCAAAGCATTGTATGCGATTAGTTGTATAACGCGGGAAAGCCTCATTGGTTACGGGAATTTCCAGACGCACAACGGCCTGGAGGCATTGCGCAGTGCTTTGGAGACGGGCAATGATAAACTACGCACGAAAGCTGCGTTTTTGTCTCATCTGAATCGCAAACGCGTCGCGATTTTCCCCACGCGATCAATATGAATCGGTCTGTGATGATTTAGCTAAGTATGTGATTAGGTAGGGCCAATTAGGCAGGGCGCTGTCTCTCTTTCTCCCCCTGTGTGAATGTGTGTTTAGCTACTAATCATTTTCCGTTTTCAGGAGGTCCCGCGAATTAGTTCCGCGTGCGTTATCGTTGTTAGGCCCTTTCCTTTCCTACAATAATGTCTCACTTGCCTTTCAGCTGCAGCTGCACTCTTCTACCTCCACTTAGATGTCATCAATAGCGGTAATCTTTCTTCTTTCTAGAGTAGTTTGATAACTTGGCGAGGTGTTCATTATTTGCTTCACATTAATACGAACAGACTGCCAAGTTATCTTTAGAATAAAATAGTAGTTACAATAGTAGTTAGTATCTAATCACATTTCTTTCAGCTCTCTTTCAGCCTTTCTTTCAGCATTACAACATTATTTCTTATTTCTATTATCATGTAATGTACCTATTTGTGTGTGAGTGAATGAGTTCCTTCCCTTTATCCAAAATTAATCTAATTTATTTCTTTTTAGCAGACACTTTTTAAGATTGTAAATAAAAATCCTAATCATTACACCTCTTCTTATTTATTAATGCAAAAACAAACAAAAAGTAAAGAATAAAAGTCCGTAATATAGATTCACATGCTATTTACGGGGGTGGTTTGGAGGGCCTTTTATCTTACTATCGTTTGTTATGTAAGATTCATTTCAAATTTTGTCTTGGGTTCAGATAATTTCTCTTAATACTAAAGTGAAGCAAAAAGTAAACGAAGTAAAAGTCTGTAATACAGATTCACATGCCTTTTATCTTTATCTTATCTGTTATTTTAATCAGTATTGCACAAAAATACAGCAAGCAATTCAATCGCAGGTTTTCTAGTCTTCTTTGTCTCGACTTCTGTATACATTCGCCTAAATAAAGTCAAGCATATAGGTACCTACTTCCACGTTACAATCAATATTGTCGTAGTCCTAGACAATGTTTGTACTCATTCCAATCGTCATTCATATTGTTGCCTAGACAACAACCGTTCAATCACAACAAATTTTACCTAGTCCAACGCGTCACGTCACTTTACCTTCAGTTCGTATTCGTACTTTATACTATACTTTACCAATCTTGCAACAAATAGTTCTTTTCAAACGGCACACAATGCCGGAACTCTCCGACGACATGTACTGCTCTCAGCAGATCATGGTTCCGCCCATGTTTCCGTACATATTACGCCAGTATGCTAAAGCAGCCATTCGATCACAACCAACAGATTTACTCAGGTATTCAACACAAGATACCACATTCAGTAACATCTTAAAATAAACCACAAATAAATTTGTTTCAAAGATGGTCCACGGCGTATTTCCGCTGTTTATCTCTCAATCTTCCACCTCCGGTGAAACCCCGCTTGGAATACCCTCTGCCCAAAGACTACGACGGCATAACCCCTGGCTGGTTGAAAGCCTTGCTCTATCAACTCGCAAACAACACGCATATTGATTTCAAAGTGTTGTGGGATCGATGGATCGGCGCGTGTCAGAACCACCTCACCCTTATTAAAATTCTATGCCTTGGTGGGTTCAGCGACCCATTAGCCATACCATTACTACGGTTTATTGGTCTCTGCGTTGGTTTTCTCAGCGAGGTATTAACTAACACAATAATTCATCAAAATCAATCAATTTGTGAGGTTTTTATTTAAAATTGTAGAATCTGACTCAAACTATGATATTATTCTGTGAAGTTGTCACTGAAGAACCCGAAGGTGGTTCGGCAATGATCTCAGTCGAGACCTTCATCGACATTTACACATTCCTTGCAAATATCGACGCGTCCAAAGGTCAAGTCCTTTTAAATCAATATTTCCCTGATGAATTACTCGCTCTGCTCGAGAAAAAAGAACAACAGAAGGAAAAGGTCGACGTGGAGGATGAGAAAAAAGAGCAGGTAGAGAAAGAAGTAAGCAGTGTGTCTGAAATCGTCGAAGAAGAAGACAAAGTCGAAGAGGTCAAATTAGATATATTATCCTGTCCTGACTTAATCGATGAGTTAGCCGCGCAGGCGTCAAGTGAAGACAGTGATATCCTTGATCAAGGAAGCAAATCTACTCTAGTAGATGATAAAGAAAGAGTAGCAACAGCCAGAGCTACATCACACGATGAAGACAAAATCGAAACGATTAAAAAACACGAGGTACGCATACACTCAGCCCAGATGGGTGAAGGTGGTGAAGAATTCGAAAGATATTCTGAGATACTCGGTGAGGAACCTATATCTGATGCCAGTGCATTAATTCAGACACTAGCGAAAGACAACGCTATGAAAGATGAGAAAATCACTGAAATTGACGAAGAATCAGAAACAGCTGCAATAACTGAAGATCCAGTTGCTGAGAATGAGCAGGATCAAGAAGATCAACCATCTGTTTCGTCTGTGTTTGCTTCCACTGAGGTACATCAAGATAAACGTGTTTCTTTACCTCCAGAAACGCCATCTGTGTCTACTTCTGTTAATGTATCTACTACACTATCAGAAAAAATAGACAAACGTGAAGATGGCGACGTGGTGGAACCTGAGGAAGGTCCGGAATTTGATAAATATCTACAATCACAGAGTGATATCATTGATGAAATGAGCGCTGCTTCACAAACCTCCGAAATGCGTACAGAAGTTGTCAAAGCACCCGCTGAACAACTGGGTGAATACAGCATAGCAGAACCAGAAGTTGGTGAAGAACAAGAGTTGGTGGTTGAAGGGAAGTTTACTGTTGATGAGATATTCGTCGAGGCTATTCCTGGCATAGGTCCGGTTGTACCGAGTGATTTGGTCGAGGTGGTTGTTGAGTATATGAAAGCATGCGCAGCGGAACAACAAGGCATGGTGATGCCACGCAATATTCGTCATTACAGCTGCCCACCGCTTGAGGTTTATGTCTAAACTATAATAAATCATTGTTTCTTTGGCATCACGTAGTTCTGGTAGTAGAAGTTGCCGAACATGTAGATGAAGGTCAAGCCGTGCATGATGACTGGGATCATGATGAGTTTGGGGAAGTCACACCATGGATTCAGTAAATGTGCGATGAATAGTGTAGTACCCAGTAAAAACTGCACCTAAAAAGCGTGATTTGAGGTTAGGTTAACATAAAACACAATTTTGGAATTATTTTCAAGGTAAACTTACTAGTTGTATCGAAGTCATTAGTTTCTTCCACTTGAGACCAAGTTTACCATAATACAACGTACAGAAATAATACGCGTACATAATAGCATGCACCCAGGTATTCAGATAGGGTGCAATGGCTAATGCACCACTTGGTAGATACTTAACACCGAACCATGACACACCAACCATTGAAGTATGGTGAAATAAGTGTAGTGCCGTCACGAAGTGTTGTTTCTTTGTCAAAACAAAAAAGATGGTATCCGCCATGTCTAAGAACTTCATCATGTAATACGCGTAGCCTATCGGTGGCATTAGGGCATTCCGAACTTCATCTGAAGTGTATACACGCATACAGAACCAATTTTCACGTAGAGGTGTAGTTTCCGCCCAGAATAATATCCCCACATTGAGGATAACTTGCAATGCATTGTAGGTTAGAATCAGAGAGCGTAAATTAAACGCTGGGCGGTTTTTCATGAGTTTAGGGCCTAGACGGGTTACAAATATGTAATAAACTAGGTTTATCAATAACGCAGGCAGGGGTGAATCCACTAGGAACCATCCTTTTGTTCTGGGATCTAAAATATCACATTTTAAGGTTATGTTTGATATAAAATGGTTTAAAACACTTACCTCCTGCTTCTCTGATATATTTTGTATAAAATTGATCAAACCACGTTACAGGAAACATTTTTCAATGTATTTCAATACGTATGTGCTTTCTGGGAGCAAGTATTAACCAACTGAATTGATTTATGGTCACTTTTCGACTTTCTATACTTACTTACTTACCCGTAATCGTTTTTAAATGGTCCTTGCCATTAAACGCATTCCTCGGTACATATTTATTTGCATTAATTACAATACTTATTAATTATATTATAATCTTCATTTTGTTTTGTTCTATTCAGCTCGTTGACTGCTAACAAGTTTAAGATATGTTTGTGATGTTTTTCATTTGGAATTTCTCTTGTCTCTTAACCTTAAATATTACCGATCTAATAGATAAACTATATTAAACTAATGCGAAGAGAGAGATGTGTATGATACAATTTTACAAATTTACCGCCCTACAGATATTCCTACAAACATTTCAATTACATGAATGTATTTAATAATACATAAATTAGTATTAAGTACGTCCTCCATCATTTTGTTCGTGTTTCGTGCGCCACTGGTATAGAGAAATAAATAAATTTGTTCATGAGTTGTTTCTGCGAGAGAGTTGAAAATCCAAATTTTGTTGATAATAAATGAGATCGATTGCATGTCAATAGAATAAATAAGAAACTATTCGTCGCAATGTCGATAAAGTAGAAAGTTGTATTCGGTGAATTCAATGCCAAGCTTCGTCGGCGTCAGCTTACACTTATTCTGCAACATAACCACAAAATATATTAATACCATGTTAATAAAGTTGCATATATTACAAAAACAAACCTGATTCTGCTTGAGTGACGCACGATAAGTCATCAACTTCGACTGAAATCCAATCAAATCGACGTCAAACATCACGCTCTGCGAGTTGATCAATTGACTGGGGACATTCTCATTGATTTTACGCAATAACTTCGCATCCTCGAAGTTTAAACTGTTCCACGGGCATGAATGCTGTCGAAAACTATTCACACAATATTCAATATCCTTTAGATGTGCCTGTGATGACCTAAAATTAATCAAAATTAATAAAAATCACAATAAACTTCAAAAAAACATACTGAAAAATCAGTGTGATGTAATCATCCGGCATATACTTCGAGATAGGCAGGATATAAGTGTAGTTGTACGTGGTGCTCTCCTGCGAGAGATAACTCTCCGTCAGAGTCGCATTGAAGTATTTCCCTTGCATCGTGATGGTGAAATGCAAGTCATCAATGGCGTCGTAGCCATTATCACGATCCGTCCACTCATCATCGCGCTTCTGGCGTGTTTTATCAATGTTATTACTATGAAACGCCTTGAGGACACGATTCTTATCAATGTTGATCAAATCACTCTTGTTTTTATTCAAGTTGTGCTGCGTTTGCATAGTCGGCAGAGTTTTCTGACTGTTGTTATCAAAAAGCGGGCCTAGCTCACTTGAATCCAACTTGTCTAGTTTTTCCAATTTTTCGAATTTTGACGGTAGGCAACAGTAAACAGGACATGGACTAGGACTCGCGTTGATGTCATCTTCCAGCGTGCAATCTGCAGGTCTCCCGAGTGTTTTCCCAGGCTTGGGATAATCCAGGACCGGATTAATTGAGTTTTTATAGACTATTGTCGTGGATAGATCAATTACAGGCTGCCATGTGCGTAGTTTTTTATTATTCGGTGGACTGAGTGTTGTTAACGTCCGCTGCACCGCTTGTAAACTCGCCTGTGTGAGTTGATTATGTCTGGAGGTTTCCAAAAAGTATAAAGTTGTAATGGCGGCGAGACACAGCGCCATCACCAGGACCAAAACAACAATAACAATCTGTATCATTTTATTCGAACAGATTTGCTCGTCTTGATATGAAGATGATGTTGTTTTTGCTCTACGGTCGTTTATTGCTTGACTCGTTGATGATTTCATACTATCTGTGCGTTTAAACTTGGCTAAACGTTTGTTGATCCTCTCCAGTTGATCAATCCGTGTCTCTAAATTGTCGGTGACTTTGCATAACTCTTTGACAGCCCCGACGTTCTCCATAAAGATACGCTCCTTGTTCACGACTAGAAAATTCTCGATAGCGACGCCATTTTCCAAGATGAGATTCCCGGCGGGTCGCACGGCTTCCGGTATGACTTTAGCGACCTCCTGAGCGATGACGCCTGTATCGCAATGCCCGGCACGGTTTAATTGCGCGGCGAATCCCGGCTCGTAATCGTATCGTACCACGCGGAGTTTCTGCACATTACGCAGTTGTTCCTGCGAGTCGCATTCGACAATGTTTTTCTTTGCGCGGACATCACTCGGCTGGATAATATGCCCGGTTATTTTTAGATTTCCGTGAATCACGAGTGATTCATCCGGGCGGTCTGTGTTCACGCCGATTCTACCTGAATGGTAGATGCTATCGGCGGTTTGGCCCTTTTGCCAGCATAGTTCCACATCGCTTTCGAACTGGCCGGGATTACTGGCTCGTACAATGATTTTCTGACTTGCGTGCGAGACTATGGGATAATTTCCGTGTGTTGTATGTGCGTGTAGACCGACTACAAGTTGGAAGTAGCGCTGTTCCGGATTGGGTTTGCCTTTTTTGCGCATGTTATTCGATGTGGTCTCGCTGAAATGCAGCCGGCCGACTGTGACCTTGGTGACTTGTGCGTTCAACAGCTCCACTCTGCGATCAAAACTGGGGAATTATTAATTTTAGTCTAGAGTAACATCAAAGCATACGTACAGCACGGGATGGAAGGGTTTCTTGCTTCTGTCGCTTTGACTCTGCTCAACGCGGATCGTCTGCGTGGGGCAATCGTGTTTCACTCCGTAGAAATGCAAGTGAAACGAGGAGATTTTCTGGAATCCTTCGGGGGTTTTCACGAATTGGGCATCACCCACCAGTTGCACATGACAAGTTATCTAGAAATTAATTTTTTAAATTTATTTTTATTTGAATTTGAAAATAAAAAACAACAAACCTGAAAGTGATTCTTTTTCTGACACACAAAAGCATCATCCGAGTTGGAGAAATTGAATCCCTTATCAGCATCGACGCGATAATGCGGGTTGGGAAGCTCCGAAAGGTTTTGATCACACAGCACATGCCAAGATGGCTGCTGGAACGGTTGGAATCTGATACACTGATACTGCGAATCGGATAAACAAGACTCCGAAGCGGCGTAATCATCATCCACTGATGTATTCACATTGGAAGGTGGACTCATCTGTCCTGGAGAACAATGTTCTGCAAAAACATAACCTGTAGTACCCAAACATAACCCAACATAACCTCGAATAATATTTTTGTAATTATAATCATACCAGGTTCATTCTTGACGATATTCTCTTGTGAATGCTTCCTCTTCTTCTTCGTATGCCCGCTGGCATTGGAAACACTCTGTACATTCTGTAAATTCGTATAAACAATTCCATCCAGCCCCGTGGCTTGCTCGCATATATCCTGTTGCTGTTGTTGTTGTTGGACAACTTGTTGCTCCTGATGCGTTTGTAAATTCATATCATACCCTAAATGCATCAGACTCTTATCGTAGTCCTGCGCGAGTAGTAATCGTTCATCGCCGACGAGAATCTGCGCGTCTTGTGATAACATACCGCCTGCCTCGGCAGCAGCGCCCCCATGTTCACTAACGACAATATGCGAACCAAGGATGAGATTGTCACTGATGATCGGATTCAAAATCTGCGGTTTGTAGATGTTTGCTTGTTGCAGCGTGGTGTAGATCGCATCCTGCGGTGATTGTTGTTGTTGTTGTAATGCATTAGCATCTGTTGTCTCTGATGGACTGTAGGGATGTTCAGAGCTTGAATCCGGTGGAGAATCAGGCAATGAGTGTCTGAAAATTTTAGAAAAGGTTATATAGTTTTAAATTCAACTTAGGCAACACAAAATACACTAAAATATATTATACCCTGGCGTGCGTTTATTCTCAACGATGACATTCAATAACTTCCCGGCAGGTTGCGCTAGCGTCTGTTGCGTTTGCTGCTGTTGAGGATTATTCAGAGAATCCGTGAAGTAATTCCCACTCGCTGGATTGTTATCACTGTTGATGAACGCCTCCAGCTGCGAGAAATCAAGGGCTTCGTTGTCGATCCCGCCGACAAAGTCACCCCCGCGTCCTAGACACATTAAGAATACGAACATAATTAATATTCTGCGATGCGGAACGTTTCTGATTTCATTTTCCACGCGATAATTATTTTAATATGCATCAAGATAATAATGGCGGCAATTAGCGAGTGTAAGTGATGCGGCGTGTTCGCATGCATCGGTCTGATTGCAGTTTCATTTTTCAAATCGAATCCGAACTTTTTCTTTCTTATTAGCGCCGCAGGAAAGTAAATTTCTTGCAAGACGAGCGTCGTCATGACAACCCCAGGGCGTAAATAACATTAACAACTCGCGAATATCGACTAAACAAACTTTTTCTCCATTCGCGTATCGACTTATTAACTTCTACACTACACAAACAACAAAAACAGTCACACAATCAAAATTTAATCATTTTTTAGCCGAAAAACAACAAAAAATGCAAATATTTATTAATTTTTTTGAATTTTTGAATTGTTTTTACCTTGTTCACTCTGTGAATTACGCATCCGTTGACGCTCGTCCATGTTTGTCCAGTATTCCATATTGTTTCCGGCTCAGCAACAATTATTCACACGAAAATTGATAGAATCAAACGCATTATTTGATTACGCGGATGAATTTTTGTTTGATTGCAATGTGTGGCGACTGAATGCGCGCTCGCGTTCGAATGTTGGGCACAAAAAGGCGGTTGGTGTATGTGCGCGTGGAAATTCCACCCCCTAAACACACTTTCTCTCCCTCTCCACCATCTTCACTCTATTTACGCTAATTAATCTGCGCGCAGCTTAAAAACACTCGCGTTTTTAATTAATATAACAATAAACAATATATAAATGAGTTTAAATTGTTTCTCTAAGGCAGGAAAGTGAGAATTAATGCTTTTAATTTAATTTTACGCTTTGCAAAAGATGTTTGCTTATTGATCAAACAACAAACGTGATTGGTAGCTGTGATTTGACGTCGGTGAATGACGCAAACCAATCGGGGTAGATATTTAGCAAAATGGCTGCTTAAAATCGCAAAAATTCGCGTTTTTTTGTGTTAAATCATAAATTTAAACTTATAGACGTTTATTTAATATAAAAATTATAATTTTAAGTATTTTTACATATATTTTATTGGTATAGATTGTTTATTGATCAAACAACACAATAAATCAAACATTTTTCGCTTTTTTTTGGGTTTTTCTGTTTGTGTTGTGTTTTGATTCAATTCATGCGTGACATAGATGATTACCGGATATACAGGATAAATGCCGTTTAGTAAAACACACCCCTGGTCAGCGACAGGTGATAGCTATTCATCCCTTAAACCCCTCAAACGCATATCGTACAAATTACTTCACAAAATGTAAATTGACCAACACGTGCACCCTATGCAACCCTCTGTTCAATATTAATTGCATTTCGACTTGCTTCCGAAATCAGTGATGCGTTAATTCTCCAAATTTCCATTGCACATTGCACATTGCGTATTAAACTGTGACGCGACCGGAAACAATATCAAAACCACCCGGTTTAAGCAATTAGAAGTGTTATTATCCACTCACAACACAAATAAATTCAAAATGATACAAAATATCACAGCGCCATCTGCACAATACACATGTAACTAATTTTGATGTATTGTGTGATGCATATGTTCAATTCCTGCCAGCGCATAATGTCAAAAATGATAACAAATGTGAGTTGTGCATGTATAATTCAATTTCCAGCGCACACACACACACACACACGTGAACACGACCACTGTTTGATTAAACGTGCACGCAGAGACATATGATCCGCGCAAACAGCGGAGGCGTGTACATGCCGTCTGATTAAATTAAGCGTAATCAAAACGTCAGCGATCAACACCTCGTAAATCAGCCAAGATTACTTATTTAAGTGATAACAGAAGCCGTTGGACACTAGTTTGATTTTAATTCCGACTTACCGAAAATTGAATGCAGCGCCATATCAGCCGATAACGGGTCCATCTTGCTCGCCAGCTAAAGATTTCCATTTGTTTTCATCTTAGCTTAAGTAATCGACGAGATAATCGCGCGTCGCTGACGCGGTCACCAAGTTCGTTCATTTTTCACAATCGAAAGAAACGAAACGAGAGAAAAAAAAACACCCACGTATCAAACACCTGTTGCACCTCACTGCAAGTGGACTTAAGTCACTTGCGTCACTCGGACTTAAACGCGAGTGTAATGTTTATTAGGGATTCGGATGTGTTAGGTGGTTGGGTAGATCGGGTCCACTCTAGTGACTTAAGTGCGTTTGATGCGTTGTGTGAATTCATTGACTTGACCGAGTCGCGGACTACGTCGAATGCTGGGATATAGGTAACTCTCTGACCAGCTCAGCTCTCCGCGCATGTCCTTCTCTTTCGCTCGCTCACCGCCGGGCTCAGCGCGCGAACGGTTCTCCGCATTCCTCCGCCGCGCGCGTGTGTAGCGTGTTATTTGTTGCTAGTTAGATGTCAGGAGTTACAATATTGAAATGTATTTATTCGCCAAAACTCAACATGACTTAAGTCACTTTGTATTCTATAAGAATTTACTTTTCACATGTGGTAACTACATTCGCAACAAACCCTCTCACCGTGTGTTAATTTCGCCCTATGGTTTTTATACATATTTTACATTTTAAGATTATTTACAATAGAATATTTATACATTTTTCTCCATTTTCTCTCCCGGCGGCAGATATTTTATCACAGATCTTTCTTAATTTACAAACAATGCAGATTTTATAACTTATCGCCGCGACTTGTGGCGGTTTTTCCGTTTTTTCTTGCCGTTTCTTCGTCGTTTGTGTCTCTTGGGTCGGTTTTTCTTCTTTTCATCTATACTCCCGCATGTACTATATGTTTTCCTCTGAGATTTGATTGGTTCTTGTGTGGTGGTAGTGGCAGGGGGTAAAAAGCGTTCCTGGTATATCTTCTCCCGGTGATTTTGGTCTAAAATTCGGCTGATCTCATCGCGGCAGGAGTCGATCCGGCGCTGGAAACGTGCACGGTCGCGACTGTACTGCTCCCAGTGACCTTTGCGACATGCGCGGTACGCAAACGACCACATGATCATGCGGTGTACTTCGGCGAGTTGTTCATCGGGCGGGAAATGCACCTGAAACAAAAAATTTCATGCGGTTAACAACAGAAAATATGTTTTTGTGGTTTACGTCAGCAAATATTGATAGTGGTAGTGGTAGCACACAAGGACAAAGTACACCCATTGTTATTTTTATCTAAAAGTGGGAATTTCCTTTGTGCAAAGTCCAAAATTCAAAACCACTAACAGCTGAGTCATGTATTTTACCTTCTTGTCTGATGAACTTTTACAGTCCGCTTCTTCAGTCTTGTGTTGTTTGTCCCTTTCCCAATAGATGTCGTCATCACTCTCATCCGAATCATCCTCATCATCAAAATTTGAATCTAAATCATCTAATTCCGTATCACACCCTTCGAAAACCACATAACTATCTTCACTAGGACACTCGGAGACTGTCCTTCTGACTGATGAAATGATCGTCAAGGAGTGTGCAACTTCCACAACCGGACAAAACAGCGTGTTATCGGAACAACTCATATCTTCGCTTGTTTTTCGCTCGTTGTTTGGATAGTTATTATCGCGATTGATGACTTTCGCGCTACCCTCGTCGCATAGAATACTCTTCCCCGTCCTGCCAATACCCATCTTGCATTGATTTTGACCCTGGAGGTTGTTTTTGAGATTCGCGCTGGTGGCGAACGTGCGCGTGTGTTGCACTTGTCCCATGATATACGACAGGCCGATGCCTGGCGGTGTCGAATGTGAATTCATTCGTTTATTACCCAACATATTGTGGCTGTGGTTGGTTTTCTTTTTGTGAAACACTTGGGGAATATTTTAATACTCGTCCGTGGCGTGCGCACAACACCAATATGGTCGATGACACTGCAATGCTGTGATAGTCACGTCGTCCGTCGGAAAATCCTCACTGCGAATACGATTTACACTGCGCGCACAATGCTGGAAATTTAGCGGGCGATGCCAACTGGCGTGGTTAACTCTTATCTCACTTTGATGCGATCTCACACGTGGATTTGATTCCATTTTTGCAACTTGAAGACGATGTGTTAAACAAATGTTACGTTCACAATTCGGCCATGTTGAGAGAAATGGTTCGGAATTTAACCGAGCGCGCACAATAGTATAACCTTCCCCCACTATGGTTCTAGAATGAAGCGAGAAGCTGCCAGATAACGAGGTCATGAATGTGGGTAACGAACAAGGACGGGTTAGTTGCTAGGGGAAAGTCCAGCAGCAGTGTTGCCGGAATGCTGTGTTGTACCACGGCGGGAAATTTGAATTTAACGAGTAAATAAAGGTGGGGTAATGAGGTCATAGAGCAGAGTAATCATAAAGTTTCGTCATAAATGGCAACAATCGTCATAGAAATTAGGAAGAAACAAATGAGTCATATTGCGCAGTATGGCGAGGTGTGCCTTGGTACGGCAATAACGACATTTGAACTCTTTATTTTAAACAAAGAGTTTGATTGTTTTGAAATGTTTATTTTGATAAAAATAACAATCAGCTATATTTAAACACGCTGACATGCAAAATATGATGTAAAACACCGCAATAGTTGCGTTTAATTATATCATTAATCATGAATCAGGTGTAGAACATCACGCATTACGCATCATTTCCCAAAATTGTTTTCCACGAATAAAAATATGTAACAAAATCAATAATTATAGATTCCCCTTTGCAGGTTTCTGTAATTTTAACATTACCACTACTATTGAAGTAGTTTAAGAAAGTGGTTTATAGATGGCGTGCATAGTCAACTTTCATCAAATACAGCTACACACATAAAAATTCCCCGTTGATAGTTTTCTATCACGCAATAAATTAATTTGTTTACTCCACCGAATCAATTAATACTCAATAAATTGTATCTCAATCATACTGATTCTCTTCGCGCCGGCTTGCGTTGTACGCTCAGAAGTGACACGTGAAATAATCCCCGAAAATACTCAAGGATTAGCGTCAATTAAGCTTTAAAAAGCATCCGCGCGTCCACGGGATTAAGAGAAATTCGTTGCTCGGCGTAACGAATGCGTCGGGCAGACGAATTAAGAGCTCAAACGTGTTACTTAACACCTGATTAGGGTCCCACACGCCTGCGCACCGCACCGCGCGAGAGAAAAGTTTGTTTTTCGATTGCGCAAAACGTTTATTAAACACGCAAATGTCACGAAAAACCGTCTCCCATTAATTAGCCGACCGGTGCGCGTATTATATTAATATTAAACGCAAGATGACAGCGGCCGATAAGATAAACTAGTTTGTTATATCATTTCCAGATATTATTCGCTTTGCGTTAAAATATTAGACGCTATCGGCGCACCAATCTTAAGCTGCTTCGTCTTCATCGGAGATTAGACTCGATCTACAAATTCGGCAACATTCGAAAACGAAAAAATTTCGTATTTGAAGAGCGATTGTGATTGAGATGGAGATTTTTGAAGGAGTCTACGAAGGCGGGACAATATTTACATTGCACTCGAGTGTCTCGAGTCGTCTTGTTTGTTCCGCAATCAACTGACACAAGAAAAACAAACAAAACGTCGTTATAAAGTTGAATAACACAACTACGCCATCTAGCGAATTAAAAAATGTACTCATGCGCCATCTGGTGGGTTTCGGAGGAGGTTAGGTGGTACATAACCTAACGAGATGAATGTTGAATTTACATTTCCATTTAATATCGCGCTATTATTTACATTCGTGCGGTGGTGCGCTCGCGAGGTCAGCGCATAGATCACGATGACACTAGGAAATTAAAACCGGTCACGGAATGGCAGCCGCGGCCCTCCGAGAGTCGCTCTGCTGGTGCTCTCGTTCGACGCCGCGGACGCCGCTAATAAATAGCCGCGGCGCGCCGGCCGCGATGTTAATAAAGCGCACCGATTGTTTCTCTGACCGATGTTTAGTTAATCTTAATCACGATCCACCGATGCCACACAAACAAATATTAGCTGGATGTTTAATATTCTATTTTGTGTATTAGGTGTGTGTGTGTGTGGATAGTATGCATATGCGCATGCGCATCGGGTAATTAGTTAATTACCGGCTTGTAAATAGCTTTCTACCGCGTTTGCGCATTGCTACGCGTTGCACTCGCGCGGTAAATGGCCTGATTGCATTGCGTTTACCTAAAAAGCGGCGGGCGCGATGGCGGCGCGACGCAATTATTTATATTATTCCCTCATTAAGTCCATTGGGGAAATCGGTTTTCGGAAATGCGAATGCGTTTGATGCGCGCCGGACGGCGAATACCATCGGCTGCGATAAAAAAAACCAACACCGCAACTGCACTTCACTTCACTGGAAAATGATTTCTTTATTTTGCGCTGCGCGTGCGTGCATCTGACCAAATTCGACATTCGTCTCCACTCAGGGGAGTCCTCATCTCATCGGTTGGTGCGCACTACCAAAGTTGGTAGTCGGACGAATTAACGACAAAACCAGTCGCTTCTCATCCCTTCGGTGTCAAACTCGTGTCGGATTATACGCGTGACAGTTTTTCTTGTGTGTTGGTTTTGTTGTATTTTCATCCCGGTGTGAGCCTCGTGGAGAAACCCGAGCCGGCTTACGCGATAAAAGCGATGAATGAGCGAGCAAATATATATTTTCTTGTTTAACACCCTCGTGTGATATTTGCCAACACGTGTAATGTGTATTTGCTTTGTTTTTCTCGTCTTGTACGCGCCTAAGTACATAATAAAACCGCATCTCTCGCTTTACGATTTGTTTGCGCGCTAATAACACTCAATCACTAACCACGCCACACATTTTCTAATCTATTGTTGCTATTGAATTCTCAAAATCGGATTCTTTCACAAAAGATCCAGGTGTGCACGAAAAATGCATCCCATCGCATCTGCTACCAGTTTATTTGAAATCTACGCGAAATATTTTCGGATTTTTGCGTGAAATATGATCCCAGGCGCGGTGTGGTTCATTAAAAGCCATTAACATAACGATTTTACGCGCCGCAGAGTTTAAGACAATTATTGTATTGGCGTAAAGATGCCTGACTTTGCATACATTGCTAATTCCGCGAACGCATGCGCATGCAAATCGCAATGAAAGAAATGCATCAGGCAACACAACACACACACACGCGTGGACGTTTTTTAGATAAAAGACGATCGACTTTTGTTCCACGCACGTCTGAAATAGTTTAGAAGTTTATATATTTTTCTCTCCACTGCGATGTGTGGTTTTGAGTCAAAATTAGTGCGGGTGTTTGGTTACGAAAACCTTCTGTGAGGTTATACCTGCGCGGCGCACAATAGAAATACGGAATACATAAATCTCCCACAACCGGAAACTCGATTCTTTTCGGCAAATTTCCATCTATTGTGCGCATTCCCATTGAAATATGCTTTTTATTTGAGGTTAGGTTGATAAGCATCAAGAGGTAATGATGATTTCACCCTGGTATAAATCAGGTTTGTGCAGTGACATTTTTTCGGGGGTTATACGCAGTCACAGGGTCGTAAAACTTGTTAGATAAACTGAAATAAATTCCATTTTGTGTGTATGTGTGTGTTGGGTGGTAGAATTCCGGCAAATTCGTGCTTGCGCTTGCGCAGGTCGATTAAGCATCTCGTATTACTGAAATTTAAGTCTACTCGGGTGCAAATCGAATCGGTGTGATTATGAATGCTCTGATTACAAATGAAATTTACAAGTTAAAATGGCGGGCGATGATCAAACGCCGATGCTGATCTTGATTTCGTGAGTTAAAAACGACGTCTCTTTAGATTCCTGACGTTTCGGCCTCGGCCGGCCGGCCGATCTCCGGCGCGATAAGCAATATGACAAAGTCTAAAATATGAAGCAGCGAATGCAGCGACTTAACAAAGCCGGCGCGCGCGCGCGCCCGCTCGATCGCGAGGAGTATTGTCCGCGCGTCCCACGGCGACTGAAATATTTTTATTATTTCGAGTGTGATTTTCGGTGGATGGTAAAATATGAAAGTCGGGCGACAGGCGGCGGCGGCGCCACGGGTGCGCCACCCCCCGCCGACGCGTGTCGTTATTAATGAACTACCTTAAAAACTCGTTCTCTTTTTCCTCTTCGCTTTTTTTATTTTTCATTTTATTCTTTCGTCTTTTCGTCCAAAGGTAGAAAACAATTTCAATCTAAACAATTCAATATGTATAATTATCTGCTTGCTTGCTTTACCCTCTCATAAAGAGTGAATATTAAAACAATATTTGTTTGACGCGGCGATTACGTTTATAATTTTATTCGCATGCGCGTTTTAAATTATTTTAAACGAGCGCGCAGCGAGCCACAAGTCGAGGATTTTATTTATTTATTTTGTCTGTTTTTCTGCGTTGATTTCGCATGCATGCAACTTTGTTTCGCTTTTATTAATTGATATGAGTGCGTATATTTGCGTATAAATTCGACACGATGAAGGAATGTTGCCAGAAATGCCCGCCAGGGGGTCCTGCATTTGCGCATGCGCATAAACATCATTAATTTACGCTAATTAATTACGACAAATACTAGCTTAGGTAAATAGGCAAATAAAAAATCTCATTTTAAGTTGTTGAAGTCGTAAAACTTCAAAAAACTTCAAAACCTGAAAGGAAACGATCAATGTGAATGTTCGTAGACAAGAAATTTTTGTTTCGGCGGAAATATAAACTTAAAAGCAAGCGTTTTGCGAAACCGGACGATGTGCTAAGTATCAACTATTAACGATTGACACAATGCCGACTAACAAGCAATAAAACAAACCGCCGCGCGCGATTAGATTAGAAGCTTATTAAATATTAAACGTGAATAAAACGTGTGCGGCACGTCATAAAACACCATCAACAACCGAAAAAAATATAAATAATAAATTTATTCTTTATTTGTAGGTGCGGTTTGAGGCACACGCCTCCAGACCGCATGGAAAAATAATGACGCAGCCGCTTTAGTGACGTGTTTATCTTAATTTCTTAATTGTAAAACACACCCCGCACGCACGCATGCGTTAAACACATGTTCGTTAAGGTTATGTTTGAAAATCGGACATTTTGTGACAAGATAACGCTGGATTGAGGTTATACAAAGTGTTTTATCGGATTATAAGTGAGGTTATGGTAGATTTAGTTGAAATCTAGCGCCGTGTGGTCCGTTAGTCGTCTTGGGTCACCCAGGCTGCCGCTCGGGGTTGCATTCCACGCATTCCCTCAATAAGCCATGGGCCCCATGCTGTGCGGCCATCTTGCCCACCAATAATCACATTACAAGGGTTGTACTCCACCAAAAACTAACATTTTAAGCTTAAAAAATTCGAAAATGAAGTTGTTTCTTTCGTGATTTATCGACTGAAGCAACATTTTTATTCTTTTAGTTTTTTTTTCTTCTTTTTTGGAAGGAAAAAATCCAAACGCGCATCGCTTTCTCGTATTATATCAAATCCTATGACAAATAAAAAACGCGCAGCGGTAATAAATAACGCACGTAAATACTTGACCGTGACTTAAGTTAAATGACTTAAAACTTGCAGCCGCAGCCACACACACCATTATGACAATAAAAATCCGCTGAGAATAGAAATTATTTTTTATGATAGATCCACGCTGAAGTCCCACTTCCGCCGCTGCCGTCGCTGAGAACTTTTCTTCTATACCAATTTTTTTTTCTTCTTTTCCCTGCGTTTTGTTTGTCGTCTTCGATCGGCATCTATTTCTCTGAAAGTCCGAGCGCATTCCTAACCTGCGTCTCATATCTGCTTGGAAAATCAAAATGGATCCTTTGAGCGTGGATGACATTTCGGGGGCTTGATTGATGGATCACTTTCGGATCATATTTGGTGTGTTTAATTAATCTAACTGATTTTGAGTGAAATTGGTGGGTTTTTGCTTGGTCGTCTGCGGCGCGCACTGGTGCTGGTGCTGGTCTTGTTAGTCGTGTAAGCGAAGCACCTCGCTGAGCGCAGTATGCGTAATCGGTGCCCGGGTCGCACGCATAAATCTCACGGCGGCGCACCGAAATAACCGCTGATTAATTTTGACAGCCGCCATTTGGAAATGTTTTACCATTCATTGGTGTGTTTACTATATATATACATACATACCTCACACAGAAATAGATGAAAAAATATTAAATTTAATTTGGTTAGATTGCGAATTCGATTTTTGTGTGACTTGTTTCTACTTCTACTTCTCTACTTAAGTAATTTGATAAACGATGGGCGTCGTCCGGATGATCGCGAGCCGGCCCCTGAGTTTAAGCTAAGTGTGCGCGCGGTGTGCTTACCTGCAGTCGTCGTATTATTTTTTTTCTTCTCTTCTTTCGTCTTCTTTCTTCTTACCTACCTGAGGACTCACTTTACTTTTTCTCCTAACGAGCAGCGCGTTCGTTACAACGTGCAAGTCAGTGAATAAACATACGATCACACACTTCTTTTCCCTCCTCTCACTCTCAGACATTACTTAAGCATTTTTATTGAACACAGACGTTTGATTCCCGTATTCTCGAGGGTTAGTAGAATTGTTAGAATTATCAAAAACGTTAGGAGAACCCCAAATTAGACGCGATTCCAACCGGCGGACCCTAGCAATTTACCAAGTTAAGTGTTTAATCATAGTGTGCATTTGATGAATCGTAAAACAATACCACACCACGACTCGCACAACGATTATTTCCAACCGTTTTCCACTATCAAATGATTACTTTCGCAGCTGAAAATATTATTAAATTTGCATACGAAATAATCATATTTACGGGCCGGCGACGCGAAATAATTGCGAATGTGAGAAGTCGGCCGGGTGGTTCTCATGTTGTTTTGTTTCTTCGTGTGTTTATTTTGTTTTAATTTGATGCGAGGCGACCGGATCAAAGCCCCGCGAGGCGAGCGCAATTAAAACGCGCGCTGCTCTAATCAATTACGCACGCACAATTTCGACCGCATTATCACTCGAAACTTTATGTGTTTTCGGTGAATTTCATGTCCAATGCGAGAGGGAAATAAAACAAGCGACCGTACGCACAATTAGGAGGTAATAAAAATAGAACAAGCAATGATTATGTGTAATTTGTTGTGTTGTGTAATAACTTACAAGAGAGGAAATCCTTTCATAAAATTACAATTACTGAATTTTGACACACACAGTTAGTTGCGCGCCCTCTAACGGGTTGTATTTGTAAGTAGAAATATTTGAGTTGAGGTTAGGTATGCGCGGTATGCGCGCAGCTAAAAAGATCCACTCGTAGCGCACACACGCATCCTTCATCTTTCTCCTCCCCGCCGTGGATTTGAATGATTCTCGAGCGGCGGACGAAATTTTCATATGACGGGGCGCGAAGCAAGAAGGACATGCTCTCGAGACTCTCTTCAGCTCTCGAGCGGCGTGAGCAAGGGTTTTACTCGGACGGACGGCATTCTTACGACTCTCCGAATGCATTTCATTCTTGACTCACTGAGGCACACACGAATACAACGCAGGACCGCATTTAAAACTTCAGTAAATAAAAATTAACCTGAAAACATAAATGATTAACATTATAGGTTATGTTTTTATGCTAATAATGATATTTTAAGTTGTTTATGGTTAAAATTTTTAACATAATGCGGTTCTGTTAAAAATATGTAAACCATAGGAATAAACAAACGTTGGTCGATGGTGTTCGCTTGTCGTCCGCAGTCCGAATCGTCCGAAAAACGACAAAGAAGTAGTAGGCACACTACTACTACACAACGAGGGGCATAAGACCACATGCGGCTCTCGAAGCGCATGAGAATGAAAGAATGAGAAACAGAGAACGCGTCGCTTTACCTTCCTTCGACTTCTCTTCAAGAGCCCGCGCCGCAAGCGACCGAACTCAGTCTCGCACCGAACGCGATCGCCAACACAACATCCCTCCTCCTCTTCACTCCGAGTCTCTCACCACGAAGACGAAGAATTGTTAACGTAACATGTTCAACGCGCGTTGTTGAAAGTGCGCTATGTTCGATTACAATAATCTACCACCGGCTGACAGCTGTCATATGTCCAAAGCGACGAAAGTGACTATCTGGGACAGTGCGCATGCTATCACTACCAACATTAGTAATACTAACAATCATAATGGCAAAAAGACGGAAACGCGTTTCTATTGTTTAACGCTGTGTATCGTGTCCGCATTCGCGATTGGCTTGTGTTTCGGTGTGCTGGGACCTTTTTACTATGCATCATCCACAAAGGAAACAACAATCACGCCGGCGAATCTGAACACCGCGAGGGAAATCGAAGGGATTTTTGTTAATCACAGTTTTAGTACACAAAACTTATCATCGGTTAGTTTTATTAACAATTCATCACAACGTGATTTAGTCTACGAAGATATCTACTGGTCAGACTATGTAGAATCCCTGTTACCACCTGGGTTTACTCGGAGGCAAGCTGACGAGTGGAATAGATATGTCCGCAAGGGTGCCGTTGCGATCAAATTGGAGAAAGGTTGCGGAAGGATGCAGAATCGTCTTGTGACGTTCGCCGACGGACGACGTGCGTGCGTTCGCTATCGACAAAACACCGATCAGATTCAGGGAGAGCTCTTTAGTTTCTACCTGTCACAGATTCTGAATCTGAAGAATCTGGTGCCTTCAGCTGTAGGGGTTGTGGATGTCCAACTACCGATCTGGACCCGTTTGAGTAATGAGATTGCTTCCGCTCAATGGAGTAGTCAAAGACCCGTGGTGCTCACTCAATTCATCCCTGATTTAGACGTGGGGAGTATCCCGAAATTGGTCAGACCTGCAGAGTCGGACCATTTGAATAAATTGGACATCCGCGAGCAAAACTTGCAGAAATCTGAGATTATAGAGTTAGCGCAGTGGTCTGATTTGATTATTTTTGATTACCTGACTGCGAATTTAGACAGGGTCGTGAATAATCTCTATAATCATCAGTGGAATAGTAATATCATGGAGGCACCCGCACATAACCTCGCCAAGAACTCCCAGACGAATCTATTGGTGTTTCTGGACAACGAATCCGGATTACTGCATGGTTATAGACTCCTAGAGAAATACGAAGCTTATCACGGGTTGTTACTGGATAATCTCTGCATATTTCGACGGAGTACCGCCCAGGCAATTGCAACCCTTCGTAGGGAAGGTAATGTCGGGCAGTTACTACGCGCCATGTTTGAAAGGCGTAACCCCGAGCGGATCAAGGATGTCCTCCCGACGATCCCCGAGAAATCCGTGAAGATACTCAACGCGCGGATACGCAGGGTGCACGAGCAGATATTGAAGTGTCAAGGGCTGTTCAAGAGCTCCGACGCGGAGTAGCGATGATGAATTTAATCGATTGCTGCGATCGGCAACGTGTTTCTCTCATGTGCCAAAAATCCTCCGTCTCTGTTCGTTTTTTTTTATTCTTCGCTTACCAGAGCGCAGAGAAAAGAAACGAAGACACAAAGGAATAACTCATAATAAATGGGATGCGCGCGGCGCGCTCGGATCAAGATCATGAACATCATGCGCATCATGCGCATTGAACATGGCCGCAGCGGAGCCGAAAAAGATCAAGATCGGTAAAGATCCAATCCGCGATGCGTATTCAAATTTATTTATGCCCGACGGACACACGAGATTTTTGACTGTATTCTATATGTAGAACGCGAGACAATGTGATATTAATGTTTTATTTTAGTTTTTATGTTTTTATTATTATCTATATGCAAGCGTGGAAATTGTGATAAACATTTGTAAATAATATGTATTATCTTATTTAAATAAAATGCAAGTAATTCGAGAATATTGATTAGTGTATGGTTGAGGTTGAGTCGTAGGCGCATGCGCATTGCGCTTGCGAATGATTTATCTGCGCGAAACCGCCGCTTCAATCATGTGTCGCGTAATGTATTTATTTATAAACCGGCACAACTGTCTGTTGTCTGTTGTTGTCTTCTTGTTGGGTTGGTTTGGGCTTGCGGTTCGGTTGGACGACTCACTTTACACTCGCCGTTTGTCGGCGTTTTGTTGACAATCATTCCTAATCGTATGCATTGATTTTGCACAACTGCGCCTGCGCAAGATTAAGATTTACACGTCCGAGCCTAGATTTGATTTATTCCAGCTTGCAAACCGACGAGCAGGCAGATAAATCATTACGGATAAAAATTGAGTGATTTTTTGACGGAAATAAATCATAATTATATTAAATTCACGCTCAATTAAACACACAGTCTTCAGGTGTGTGTGTGTGTTTGGTTGCATAATCAATATTTAAACAATATTTTTATGACCAGTGTGCTTGTGGTGTTATTTACGAGCAATATAAGCTGCCAGATGGAAATATGAAATGTGAAAAGGCTTTTTGACCTCGTTGGCCCTTTAATTTCAACGCGCGCACTCGAGAAAATAATCATCTGCGCTCGTAACAATAATATAAACATTGATTTGGGGTAGTGGCGAGGTTTTTCTGCGTGTAATAAACACGACGCCAGGAATAAATTTGGGCGCGAGGTCGAGATGTTAATTAAATTTTTGTTTTCCCGCGTTAATTTCTTAATTAACACTTTTCCATACGTTTTACTATCAATTACGGTAAGCAGGCTTGAAATTAAATATTTACAATCGAGGGCAATAAAGCATGTGTTTAGTTATTAAAACAGCGTCGTCGTAAATCGGCGCCAAATTTGCGCGTGTTTCGCGCGTTCGCAAAATTATTACCGAAAGACACGCCACTACGCCAGCCACAGCCAGCCAACCACAAGGGGAATGTGTAATGCGGAGAGAAATAATTGCACGCGGTTTTGTTTTTTTTCGTTCTTTTCGATTAACTCTCTCGTGCATGCATGTTTAACTACACGCGAATTAATTTGTGCGTATTTCCGCGAAATAATTCCGCCCCTTTGAGTTTTGCGCGCATTTCAATCATCCGAATAATTTCGCGGCGGACTTCTTCGAACGTGCGCGCACCGGTGGAGAGACACGACACATTTCGCATTTGTCGTCGGGCGCAGGTTCGGCGAAGCCAACGGCACACATAATGAATGCGCCGCGAAGATGTATGCGCGGATGGGTGGTGTGGCTGTGGGGACACTCGGTGGATGGGCGGCGGTGTCTTTTTAAGGCTCGCTGCTCGCCGCCCCGGGCGCGCTTTCGCGTTTTTGTCGCGGCGCGAGGCGCGCTAATTAACAAACATAAAGGCATTGTTGCGACAGGTTCACATCCATAATAACATCGACGCGTCCGAAAACGTGCCCCGGCCGCCCCGTTTTTGGCAACCAACCGTACGGTACGGTTTTTATTGCTCGTCTTTTATTTGCATTCATTCGGTGTCGCGCGGGTTGCTTTTTTTACTTCAGTCGGAGACCCGCACACACATCATGCAAAACGTACGAAATATTTTGAATTACTACTATTGGGAGTTTGAAACTCCACTACCACGACCTCCAACGGGAAATAGTAACAACAAACTGCAAGCTACTCAATTACAGATTTCATATTATTGCATAGGGTATCTTATATAATTCACCACTAGATAGCGTTAGGTGTATCTCATTCAACTTTAATTTCATAGCAGAATAATAGATGGCAGGTCATGTTTCACGCTATGTTTATTTAAATATTTTCTTTTTTACACAAATACAAGGTTTACACACGTCGACATTTTTGGTCATTGGCATATAATAATAAATTAAGTACAAGTACAATGCAATAAAAAAAAACCTATAAAATAAACAAAAAGAGACGGCTGGCTTCTCTCTAGGCGTACAAAAATAAATTACCTACGATTAGAGTCTACTAATACTTTTGTCAAAAGTGCTAATTGTTTATGTTTAATCGGGAACAACGCTTGACTAGAAGGACCGCAACGCCACGTGCGCCTACTTCCGCTCGGCGAGCATCGGATACAAGAAGGTCGTGATGTTATCCTGGCCGTGATTGTTGCGCGCGATGCACGTGTACGGCCCCATGTCGTTCCAGCGAATGTTGCGTATCAGCAGCGCGCCGTTCGGCAGCGTCGAGTAGCGCTTATCCTCGGTGAGCGGGTTCTCATCAGGGTCCAACCAGAACACTTCCGGTAATGGTGAACCTACCGATGAGCAGGGTAGAATAATATCCTCGCCAATGTGGTCCATGTAGATTGTATCGTAGAGCACAATCCGGGCTGGAATACGTTTGGTCATGAATGAAACCTGGGAGAGATTCATGCCTTGAAGCCCTCCGGAGGATTTCACATGCAGTTGGGTTTGAGCCGTGGCGACCTGTGTGCCCGCCTGGGCCACACATGTGTAGACACCTGCGTTGCCATCGACCAGCGCGTGGACTAAGAGACGTGCGCGGACTTTTGCAAGACCATGGCTGGTGGTTTCATCCACTAGATTTGTATCGTATGCGTCTAGTTCGGCGAGTGGTTTACCGTCTTTCACCCAGCGAAGAATGGGTGCTGGGGAACCCACTGCTTCGCATTCTAGTTCTAGATGAGCGCCGCGGGTGTGGTGGATGGATGGGGGTGGTGAGAGGGAGATGCGCACCCAGTCGGCGGGGTCGTCGCCGGCGTCCGTGGAGGTGTCGCTCGTTGAGCTCGCCGCGATGCTGTTGTCGATTTCGCTGGAAGGCATCAATGAGGACATGTGGCGGCCGTGGAGGCGCGGGGCCGCTAGGGCCAGCAGGAGCAGGCTTAGAAGGCGTTTGGTTGTTGCCATACTAGGTAGAAATATTAGTTCTGGAAAAGAAAAAGTAGAAAATTTAAATTTCGTGTATGAAAAGTTGCCTATAGTAAAATACATTAGAATTTAATAATATTTTAGTTTATTTTATTTATATGTGATATTATTTATTAAAATTATAATTAATATCACGTATAAATAAAATAAATTAAAGTAAATTGTTATTTAATTAAAGAAATTAGGTATTCTTTAAAAAAATTAACAAAAAATAAAATTTCATGTATAAAAAGTTGCCTATGGTAAAATACTCAACAAAATGATGAATTAAACTTTTTTAGTTATGAATTAATAAGAAAAAAGCGCAAGATCACGCGAATGCGTCATGATTCCGACCCGCGAATGAATTCTAGACCATCTGTTGGTTGAGCGGTCGCCGCGATGGCTGGCACGATCGCTAATCATCGCTCGCTGCGCTCAATTCAGCACTTTGCGTAATTGATCTCAACGCTCGCGCACTTGTGTGCGTTTCTAATTACGTTAATTGCTCGCGAATGCCGGCGGATTGTGTGTGTGTTTTTTTGCGGTCAGCATTAGTGGAAACAGAAAAAAGTCTTGCAAACCGCCTAGCAACAACGCTCACTCAACTCGCGCGCGAGTTCCAAGAAAATTGTTTTGCAATTGAGCGTGTCACTTGACTTAGAAACACTTGATTCGCCAATTAAAACCGGCCGCAGCAACTCGTTTGATTAACATAATTATGCGGTGTAGAGTTATGTGTGTGCGTATGGAGAGAATTGCGTGTGGAAGTAGAAAAGGCACGACCGGCTGCGGTGGACGCGATTGGCGCGCCGGCGAGAGGCTCGTCACTACATTCAACAAGTGCACCCGCCGTCTGGCGGCCTCGTGGCCTGCACACGTTCTTGAAACTCTTCGTGAATGAAACGCAACGCACGCACGCGGCGTGTGAAATGCAGGAACAGTGTTACATCATGCGCCTAAATATTCCCTCCCGAAAGAAAAAAAAACTATTAAAAAGTCACTTTTGACATTTCCATAACATAACTGCGTCGCAACTATTCTTATCTTTGATTGAATTCAACTAGATTACACAATACGGAATATTTCTGATGAATGGAAGTAATTGTATGCTGCTTTTTTTCACCCGCGGCGCGTTTGTAACATGTTTAAACAAGATTGCAGCATGTGCGCACGTAGTGACGATAAGACTTGATGATGTTACATCACGCACACGATTGCACATGGTTTTTTCGGTAGTAATTTCCGGTCGTGGCGCCAAGCACTTGATTTATCAATGAATAACTCATCACACATCCGGTACAATCATTTAATTCGAAAATTAATAATAAAATTAATAAAATTAATAAAAATTTCAACTTACTTGATTCGTTTGGAAATTGTTTGTCGATGCACAAAGGGATGAAATCCTGAGATCCTGGATCTGCTGCTGTTGCTGGCGGCAGGACGAGAGAATCAAAAGCAGTGTGTGTGTGCTGCGTGATGGAGCGTGGATGGCGCGAATGAGACGGCATCCATGAGAGATCCCTTGTATTTATACCTGCTGCGTGGAGCAACACACACTCGCATACACACACCGCACACCACGTGCCGCCAACCGCCACACGACGCCGCACGACGCCCTCCCCAATTGTTCTTAGAACAAGCACGCAGACACGCTTCGTATGAAATTTACGAGCTTTGATATTCCACGAAGAAGCGAAGAAATCTCACAAAGGGCCCAAGAAGACGCCATCCCGCCTCAGCCGAAGACATTTCCACGAATTCTTTCATTCATTAGTCATTTAAGGGCGTAAAAATGATAAAAACCATTTTATCGTGTTTCCATTGAAGTATTTCGGTAACATCCGGTATATAAATCGAAAGTTGAATTAATTATCCGCGCATATTTGAGATTTAAACAATTTCCGAGTATTTTTCTCCGAAAAAAATCTCAGAAATTCATTCATTGATGAATTCATATGAATCGTGACCATTCTCACGTAGGCACTTCTTGCGCGTTGCAGTTTGGCATTGCACAACGTCACGTAAGCACAAATTGCACATGCACATCTCATTCATTCATTCATAACTAGAGTAATTAACAATTTATGATATTGATGTTTAATCAGCAAATAGTTGCTTTATTAATAACTGCGCTTGGTCGGTTTTTTTTTCTTCGTCGTCTTCTTCTGCTTTTCGTAACTTTTGTGGCTTGTGTGCACCACATGCGGCCAATTATCAATCAAGCGTCGTTTGTCCCTGCGCGGCACGCAATTATCGCTGTTCTCATTAGTGCCAACAACTCGTTAGATTTTATTGGTTCGTTATATGCGTCAACGGCGCGCAACAAATCCCACAATGCGTAGATACGTATTTCATTCATCCCCTGCGCACCCGAAATGTGTATTTGCATTCGTTTACTCGTTTTCGCATTGTTTCTTTGTAATACACTTTGTAACACGCGTAAAACATCCATAAAACTTTTCCCGAGGGATTTACGCAAATCCCTAGCGTAATACGCGTAAAAACAGACACAAAGTTGTTGATAGTATCAAATCAAATACTTTCTATGTGGTTATTAATACAATTTATATCCGGAAATGGTATTGTTTCTCCCAGGGTTGAATTTTACTATTTTCTACCCTAATTACCACGGGAATAACATATTTTCACGTTGGCAATGACGTCGCAAAGGCCTGAATGGTAAATCAAGCTATAATTTCGCTTTTGTCGCTTGTTTCACCACCGCCGCCCCGCTAAGATCACAATGTGCGTCAATGGTAATTAACACGCTCTAATTAATTAATAACGTCGTTTTACTTTCATTACTCTCGGATAACGACGCTTGCCGGTGACAATCATTACAATTATTGCCTGTAATAACCATCAATTGCCACCCGAACTAGATAACTTATTATCTATGCTAGTGAAAGCAATATTTTACGTGCTTCTAATACATAATAGTTAATAATATCGTGGTTTTTAGTTAATTTTTCGTATGAATTTAAATTATTAGAAGTGTTGTTTACTATATGCAACCAATTATACGCTGTTTTGTGGTTTGTAAGTTTGTCGTGTGAGGGCGCTGTGACTGACGATTGCCAACCGCTTTTTCTTTTTGTGTGTAAGTGTCGTTCATGGAAAACTGTTGCGTTTAAAATAATTTCCGACGTTTTTCACAGCTAGAAATACTATTCGTCATTAATTTAGCTAATTGTACATCACTGGTGATATTAATAACTAGTGGTAAGTTAGTTTTTCAGCTTATAATCGTGTTTTTAATGTTGTCAGAATTTTAGCGGGACTTTATACCTGCTTGCATCCAATCTAACCTCAAAGTTTATCGCCGTTTGAAGCAGAACAGAGAAGAATTTTGTAAAGTTTATAACAATGGCGAAAGTACAGCTGTGCAACATCACTGTGATGGACAATCCGAGCCCGTTTTCCAACCCCTTTCAATTTGAGATTACTTTTGAGTGTATTGAAGAACTTAAAGAAGGTTTTTGAAGTTAAATTACATCTTGAGTCATTTTATATTATAATTATTGTATTTTTATAGATCTAGAGTGGAAAATGATTTATGTAGGGTCAGCAGAGAGTGAGGAACATGATCAAGTACTGGATTCTGTCTTTGTGGGCCCGATTCCTGAAGGAAAACACATGTTCATGTTCCAAGCAGAACCGCCGAATGTGGCACGAATTCCTGAAAACGACGCCATCGGCGTGACTGTTGTCCTCCTCACTTGCCTATACAAAAACCAGGAGTTTATTCGTGTCGGTTACTTTATTAACAATGAATATGCGGATCCTGAAATGCGCGAGAATCCGCCAAGTCCACCGCAATTCGATCAAGTGACGCGAAACATCCTGGCGTCTGAACCAAGAGTAACCAGATTTAAAATCAACTGGGAGGATCCGACGCCGGCCGCCGAGACGCCAATCATCACCGGTTTCAATGAGAATAGCAATAGTATCTCAACAATGGAATGCGCGTAAGCGAAACACACAGCGTGCGTCAACTCAATTAGTTTTAATTCTATTTTGTAATTATCGTTAACTTAAGTGCCAATAGAACTATTTTCTATAAATGACATTCTGGATCGATTCCCGGCTGTTTCTCTTTTTTGAATAATTAATTGATTAATTTGTAAAGTGTTTGACAGTTAATGGCGGCGATGATTGTGTTCCTCTCCCAAACTGTGTGTGGGGTATTAGGTGCGCATGCGTGTGTGGCCGTCTCGAAGCCGCGCCGGCCAATGAAACGCGCGCGTTCCTTGCGTGATCCTTGCGCGGACCCCGAAATCCTTAACAAAGTGCAGCCAGCAAACCTAAACACGCCGGGGTACGTAGAATTTTATTCATTTTCACGCGAATTTCGTGCGGCTCGTGCGTGCGTACGGACGCGATGCAGCGCACGATCATCATCTCTCGCATGACGATCGCGCTCGCCCCCGTGATGGCGGCGGCGATGCGATCGCCGGACGCAATCACGCGTGCCGATTTTTAATTGTACAACACACACGCACGCACGCTCCATCAGCCGGTGGCGAGTGTGTGCTGATCGACGTGTGTGCGTCCCGCCGACCGCTCGTAACCTTAGATTTTTATTGATTTATGATTGCGCCGAATGGCGTTACACCTGTGCTTCTTTGTTTGTCATCGCACACATACACACACACACATATAGACAGGTTTTATTTGCATGTGGCGACGTGTACTCGCGTGTAGGGTGGAGATAACGAGACAAATGATTGATAGTAACTTATCGCTGTTGTACACGCATTTATGTGCACGAAACAATGCGATTCGTCTTGATTGGACTTCCAATTGGAATTAATTTCTTTCGATTGCGTTAATTTCATATTGGTAATTTTTCTGGGGTAAATTTAGCGAAATTTCCCTGGAGGCGAAAAGTAGTCGCGTTTTTTTCTGTTTATTAGTCGAAATTGCACGTGGATTGACCATCGGCAATACTTTGATTGTACTCTTTAAGTCAGAAAGCACGCCGCTGGTCTCGGACGGTGGGCGTGCCGACTAATTAAAAAGCAATTAATCATTGTTTTTTAATCGTTCGCTGCTGAGAGGACCCTAGGCCAGCTGTTGTTGTAGGTTGGCAGCAGTGTGGCGCAAGTGGCGGAGGCGCCCGACGCTCACCGAGTGCGTTATAGCGCATTAAAGATGGCCGACAGAAACACTAGTTTGCTTATCGCGGACGCGCTGCGATTTGACAATTGATACGCGGCGGCGGTGTTTGTTTGCGCGAATTCTGGAGCAGCGGTCGGCGAGCGGCGGCCAGCGAGTGTTGTTACACGGGGATCTCGTGCGGTTGCGGTGCGCGGGCGATGAGCGGGCGCGTGCGAGCGGTGCGCGGCCTCCGAGCTCGCTCGCGGCGTGAGGACGCAAGGACAGCGCGCGCCTAGATTGCGCCTTGGTCGCGCCGTGCTGTGTCCTCGGCGACGGCGACCGCCACCGGGCCCCTCGGGTCACAAGCGCGCGTTTGGCGGGCGAAACGGTGCCGCTTCGAGTGGGAAAACAGTGTTTCCATAGCAACCGTGCTGAGTTACTCAGCGAGTAAACAAAAACAAAGGAGGCGCGCAGAGGTTACCCTCGCAGTGAAAGAGTGTGTGTGTGTGTCGTTTTGCAGAGTGCGCCCCCGCGACCAATGCCTCGCCGCGCCGGTGCCAGCCCCAGCAGCAGCAGGCGGACGTGATGGCCGGCAGCGAGCAGCAGCGCGACGCAATGGCCCTCTTCGAGTTCGGCTAAGCCACATCGCATCTCGCAGTGATCGCACACACGCATTCCTCGCGCGCGTGCACAAAGACAATGTCTCAGAAGGCAGCAAAGATGTGCAAGTCGCCCAAGAATCTCCTGCTCACTGAAAAGGTGATCGAGTATGAGCACCTCAACACCAACTGCACCATTGTTGGCTCCAACAATCTGCATCTGGTGAAGAAGCCCATCGTCACCAGCGTGTCGCCGGTCTACTCGAATCCCTCGCCGGGGCCGTACAAGAGTCCTTCACCGCAGGCGATGAAGCCGCCCACTCCACAACCAACCTATCCAGGTAACCATCCTAATCATCATCATCTCCCATTTGAATCTCATCTTAAAACTTATATATGATGTGTTTTAGTGATGCAAATAATCAATCCAGTGATGGCAAGCCGCCAGATACACCAGCAGGCGACGACGGCCAACGTCATCAAGCTGAAACCGCCGCAGAATATTCTACCGAAGCCGGCGGCGGCCAGCGGAACCACAGCGCGACAAAGTCCGCGACCGGCGGCTGCAGCCAGTCCCGCGCAGATACAAATGCTCCCAACCAGCGGCGGTGCGCCGCAAGCGGCACTCATGCAGCAGCATCCGCTGCTACTGAATCAGATGCCAATGCTGGCGACGGCGCCGGGCGTCCGGTTTATTCTACAGCCGCAGACGGCGAAGATCTCACCTCAGGTGCAGCAGGTACAGCAGGTTCAACAGGTGCAGCAGACGCCGCAGGGGCTGATTTTACAGCCTGCCACCGGGCAGCAATTGCTGCACTTGCAGCCGCCGCGCAGTCAACCCATGGTGCGGGTGCTTACCAATGGGGTCGGTATTCCTGCAACGACTTATGTCACACAAGTAAGCGTATTTATTACTTATATTTGTATTTATATCAATTTAATATAATTAATTGTAGATGGCACCAGTACAAAATCTCCAAACGTCACTATCTTCACCGCCGGTAGTGGTCTCACCCTCGCCTAAGAAGAGACCGCCGGCGAAGAAGAAGAAACAGAAACTAGATCTCGCCAATATCATGAAACTCTCGGGTATTGGCGACGATGACGATGTCATGTTTGAATCGGACGCGTCGCAGAGTGAGAGCGATGCGTCCACATCAACGGCGACTACGCCGCAACCCGAGAAGAAACTCCCGGCGCCTCCGCAGATGGTCATCTCGCAACCGCAGCAGATACCGCAGTCACATCACCAGCCCGGGCACGCCGCGCCTATTGTCCAGGTGCTGAATCAAACATTCCAGGCGCAGAACGCGCAGCAGACGCCGTTTGGCGGGTTTAGTATTGCTGCGCCCAATTTTACCCTCGGCACGAATGGTTTAATGGCGGTGCAACAACGCGCCAATGGCGGTTTTAAACTGGCGCTAGGCGAAGATGGCCGACTAGTGTTACAGCATGATCCTACGCTCAATCAGGATCTGCAATCGCAGTTGCTTCTGCAGAGTATTTTCGGCTTGAATGGCGGGTGTGGTAGTCTAGTGCTGCAGCCGTCGATTGATCAACAGATTCATTCGCAGACTGTGCAGACGATACAGCAGCAAAGCGTGCAGACTATCCAGCAACAGACGGTGCAATCGCAGACGATTCAAACCGTACAGCATCAGATTGTCCAGCCGCAGATACAGAGCATACAGAGTCAACTCCAAGGGCAGATTCAGAGTTTATTGCAACAGCAGAATATCATGCAGCAGCCGAATCTCACACTGCAGGGACTCGCCCAGCAGCAGCAGCAGCAGCACTTGTTGCAACAGCAGAGTCAACAGGCGCAGTTGCAGAAATTGGTGTCGGCTGCGCCTGCGGTTGTTGCCAATAATCTATCATCCACGGCACCGACGACAACCACCTCGAATTTCACACCTTCTGCTAGTCCTGTAGGCAACGCGAGCAGTGCGAATTGTCAAACGCAGTTTTTTCCCAGTTCACTACCATCTACGTTGCCCACGGCGCCGCCGACAAGCGCCACAGGGCAACAACCAGTGCTGAAAGTACAACCGTTTCAGAAGAGTCAACCGCCAGTGCAAACTGTACACCCGATTCATCATCAGGCGCATCAGCATCATCATCAACAGACTCCCACGCAGCCGCAACCACCACCACAACCGCAGCCACCTGCGCCTACTTCTTATGTGGTAAATTTAACACCGGAACAACTTGAACAACTGAAACGCAACGGGCAGTTGACCGTTAATGGACAAACGATATTCATGCAGCGACCTGCCAAGGATATCTCTGAGAAGAAGACCTCGCCCAAGATAAAACCCATCAAGAAACCAGTGAGTAAGATCGCTGCGGTTGTCAAAGAGATGTGTAATCACAATCCGGCGGTGGTCACCGCCCCGCCGAATGTCGTGATGAAGAGCGGGAATAATCTGGATAAGATTATCAATAGTGTGGCTGGTGCCGGCACTGAAACAAACAACGTACCTGTAAACGCAAAGATTAAAACCGCGGCGATTATACAACCGTCGATTGTTATGCAAGCGCAGCCACAGCAACAACTGTCGACGCAGACGAAGCTGGTGACGGCTGTCGCGCCTGCCAATGCTGTTTCCAGGGTGATGATTAGCCCGCGGTGTATACCCGCAACAACAACCACGCATAATATTAACAATCTAGGCAGTATGGCGTCGACGCCGTCGGGGATGGTTGTCACACCGATTACGCCAATCACACCAGCGACTTCTATCCAGCATATTGTTGTTTCTTCGGGGATGTCGTTGATTTCAGCGGTGCCGAGTGTTTCGGTTACGATGACTACAATGGCGCCATCGGTGGTTACTAGTAGGATGAGTGTTACTCCAGCGGCGTCTATGCCTGGGTTGACTATGGTGCATTCTACACCTGCGTCTACTGCACAGGTTGTGAATAAACAACAACAACCTGAGGTGGTTGTTAAAATGGATCAACAGCAGAATCCCGACGTGGAGAGGTTTTTAGGCCAGTTGATGGAGGAAACACAACTGCAACAGGCGAAACCTGTGGTGAAACTGCAGAAACAAGTGCAACCCGTGCAGATGCAGATGCAAATGCAGTTGATTCAGGAAGAACAACCACAAGTGCAGCAACAACAGCCGCCGGCAACAACGAAAAAGTTGCAGATTACTTCGAATCAACTTATTCAACCATCGCAAGCTGTGCAGGCAGCGCAAGCAGCTCAGGCAACGCAACCTACACCTACACCCGCACCTGCTAATATTCAAACCAGTCAGTCTATGATTGTTTCCTCCTCGTTGCCACTTCCACAAATACCACCTAGTAATCAGGGACAACGCATTATGATCCAACTAACACCCCAGAAACAACAGCACCTGAAGAGTATACAACTGCAGATTCAGACGTTATCGACGCGTATGCAACCGGGGAATGTGGAGACGCAGAATGCGTTGAAGTTGTTGTTTCAGGAGCAGCAGAATATACTCGCCAGCGGCAAGCTGCTGCCGCCCGATAAAGTATTCTATCACGGCAATCAGATTATCGTCAATAATTCCAGCATGGTGAAGAATGAGGTGCTTAGTCCACCGATTAAGAATCAAACGCAGGCACAGGCGCAGAATGCAACCAGCAGTGCACCAGAGATTAAACCACCTGTAAGTTGTGTTTCAATAGGTTTAATTGAACAATTTATTGATGGTTTTATTTGTTGTAGGTTTTGATTCAGCCCAAGATTGATATTGGTACAAGTTCTATTCCAACTACAACGATTTTAACGGCTGCTTCGTCGTCTTCTGCGGCGTCTTCAACGGTTGTTACAACTTCCAGTGTGAATGTGGTTGCAACTGCAACGGTTACCGCCGGACAGAGTCAAGTACAAACGCAGGCTCAGGCTGCTCAGTCGAGTGCGCAGGCGAATAAACTGACGCTGTACAAGCGTTCGCAATTGTAAGTTGATTTTGGATTTGCTACGTTTATTGTTCCCTTTTTCCTCTTTTTGGTTTCCGATCCCGATGCTTATGCGATTTTTGAACGTTTGTTTTATGTGTTTGTTGTCATGCGTGCGTTGTTTGTTTGTCCGTTTATTTATAATTTTCCTGGTGTTCTTTGTTATTAGAATCGAGCAACAAATGAATACGGACCAGAATGGTGCGATTAAGCCGGACATTCACACTCCTTTCAGGGACAAGGCGGACGCGTGCAAGCGCCTCATTCGCTACCACTGCTTCGAGCAGCCGGTGCTCAGCGAGAAGGATCTCTCCAAGGCGGACGAGATTTTCGAGCTTACGGCGCGCCACTTCATTGGCAAGTTTGGGCGCATGGTCGACAAGTATCGCTTCTTGCTGCACAAGGAGAGTCAAGTAAGCATCAGCAAATTTAACTCTACTTAAATTAAACATTCTGTATTTATTAATTTATTGTGTTGTTTTTAGCGTCATGTACAAACATCCGAGCTAATGATGTTGGATAGAATGTTTCTCAGCGAAGAACAACAGTCGCTGATTAAATTACGCCAGGAGATTGATGAATTGCAAGCGATGCAACAACAACAGCAGGAAATGCAGCCGGAGATGAACGCGGAGGATTATGATGAGTGGGCTTGTATTCAACGCGAGTTGGGTTGTCTACCCGATGGTACTTCTGCAGTTGATACCAGTATACCAACTGTTTCCGTTGCAAATTCACAAGTCATCACAAGCTGCGCGCCTGTGGTGTCTACGTCCAACTGCACACCGACAACGTCCACCATTACAACATCTTCTAATACCATAGCAACATCCAAACGGCCTGCATCCATCGTACATCAACAAGAAAAAGTTGAGACGAAAAAGCAGCGTATGGAGAAAACCTCCAGGGTAGTAGCTGTAGGCAATCAGAATGGCTTACAATCAGCGGAAGCAACGCGTTTTGTTCTTAAATCTTCATCGCTGACGAATATCAACGGGACAGAGCAACAGACGCGTCCCAATATGCATAATTTACAACAGGTGAATGTGAATTTCAATGCGACGCAACAGCCACAGCAGCAACGGTTTAATATCCAACAGCAGCAGCAGCAGCAACAACAGTACACACATGTAGCCAACTATCAACAGCAGTTGAACAACGCCGCCAGCGGTATGAATCTGAACAACTACAATTGCAGCATGACGTCGGCGATGTCCTCGTCCGGATCGTCGGCGTCGACGCGCAGCAACAACGAGGAGAACGACAGCATCGACGAGCAGGTGCAGTCCGCCATTGATTCCATCCTTAATCTGCAGCAGAACAATCTCGACCTGGACGAGACGATGCAGAATATGCTCTCGTGACGTTAGAAATGCGCGCGCCGGACGACGAGTTGTACATAAACTTAGGGAATTTTAGCACAAACACACACACCCAACTACACCCATCAATCACCAGTACCCTCCCAGTTGCACATAACCTCATTCATGTGCTATGTGCAGATTGGGAATCCCCCCATTACAATTAGCTTTAATACTGTACGTGTACATAAATCGATGTTTCTTGGGCGGCTACTATTACTTATTATTCATCATCTGATCTGATCATCGAGCGAGGCATTAATTAGTCGTTTAATTTGCGCTAAATTAAGAGTAAATGAATTAAAAAATGAAGAAGAAGAAGAAAACACACACACACACACGAGTGAGAGACGAATGCGCGCGTCGTGGACTGGTGTAGAATTACTATATTTAAGCATTAATTAACATACTTTGTGTGATCTTAGCTCCTAATTGACAATTAACGATTGACTAATTTATATACATAGCGATAAGAGATATCCATCCTAGGTTGTAACACATACACACACACACGCGAGCAGCGGAACGCAAACGCGCAGGCCTACTACGATGAACGTGAACGCGAAAAGCGATGCGAAATTGTGTTGATTGATTATTGTAAATTGTATATACTACTACTACTTCTACTAGTACTTGTTTGTGGAATTTTGCTCAAGTGGCAGGCGGGCGGACGGGCGGCGTCTTCGTTTATTTAACAATTTATTTATTCGACTAATTTATGAAGAAGATGGAGGTGGGAGATGATGGCAGCAACGAGCATCGCGTACTTATTTCGTTTTACTCTGTGACTAAAATTGTTTATTGTTTTTTTTTTTTGAGATGGAATTCGTTTAAGACTGATTTGTAAAGAGAAAGTGTAACAATGTAAAACACATCCACACACGACAAACATCACATTGAGATCTACATATATACACACACGCGTTTCTTTTGGGCCGACAAATGATGTGGACAATGTTTTTAGTTCCTAAACTTTGGAAGAAATAGATTATCGAGAATTATCCAATAGTGTTTCTGATCTGATTATTCCAGTCTAATAGGAACACTCGGTGTAAACAGGATGTGCGCCTGAAAGTATGCAACCAAGTATACACTCATACTGATGTGTCAAAACATTATTTTGTTATCTTTAAAATGTTGTAGGCGGTTGCAGCAATAATAACACCATTTCAACATCATTTGCAGTTGAAAATTATACGAATTATGACGCAGAGTCACCTGCAGGGTGGTCGTGTGGACATCTCCCTCATCGAGAATCTCGCCCGAAACAGTCTCATCACTTTGTTGGAGAAATGTGTCGGGCCCAAATTAATCGTCTGGGAAAACTCTTTAGCAGGCCCTGTGGGGCTCATTGCTCAATACCATCAATTGGAAGCCATCGGGGTGCAGAAGATGTTCCCTTTGCGTAATATTCCACTACCAGAAACCAATGTAAAGCATGTTATATTCATCACGCGTCCGAAACTACATTCGATGGATTTGGTTGCTTTTAATGTGCACCAGGACTCTGCAACTGCAAGCGGCAAACAAAAACAGTATCACTTGTTCTTCGTACCGAAACTCTGCTTGCTATGCCAGAAAAGATTGGAGAATCAGCGAATGTTGGGCAGTTTGACACTCATTGAAGAGTTCAAATGTGAATTATTCCCTTTTGAGAGTGATTTACTCTCATTAGAGATTCCTGAGATGTTTAGGTAGGTATTGAGCATTATTCCATCTAGAAAATTAATATTTTGATTGCATTTTAAGTGAATATAACATACAAAACGACCCATCGACGCTGTATCAAATCGCACATTCGTTAATCTCTCTGCAAAAAGTGTACGGCCCAATTCCACGTGTTTGGGGTAAAGGACAAGCAGCCAAACAAGTCTGGGACCTCGTCCAACGCCTACAACGTGAATCCAACCTCCAGGAAACATTTAAAACCCATCGAGCTTCATCAATCGACCAAATTCTCCTCATAGACCGTTGTATTGATCTTGTAACACCGCTAGTCACACAATTAACTTACGAAGGATTAATTGATGAAATCTACGGGATTAATACAGCCACAGCGACGTTTCCATCCGAAAAATTCAAGAGTAACGAAGAGCGTGTTGTGGATTCACTCCGCGAAGAGCGTAAGAAAATCATTTTGAATTCTGGCGATAAACTATTCGCGAATTTACGCGATAAACATTTCAATGCGGTTGGACCGTATCTATCCAAACAGGCGAAGCTTATCTCTTCACAAATGGAAGATAGGCACAAGAAAACCGTGCAGGAGATGAAGTTATTCGTGCAGAAACTGCCACAATTGATGTCGGATAAAAAAGCGCTCGCGGAACACACTGCTATTGCGGAGTGTATCAAAGAAGTCACCGATGGCTTTGATTTCTTGGATTATCTGCAAACAGGGCAGGAGTTTTTGAATTGTATTGATTTAGACAAGGCTAGTCCATTCATTGAGTCGTTATTAGCTCAAAAAGCACCGATTGTTGAGGTGTTGCGTCTGATTTGCCTGCAATGCATTGCTTCCAGTGGAATGAAACAAAAACTGTTGGAGTATTACAAGCGGGAGCTTGTTCAAGTCTATGGGATTCAAGCACTGATTGCCATAACTCATTTAGAGAAGGTGGGATTGTTGCGGTGTCAATCCGGAGTGCGTCCGTACATGGTTTTGAGGAAAGCGTTGCATTTAACTGTGGAAGACACTTCGGAGATTAATCCGACTGATGTGAGTTATGTGCACAGTGGGTATGCGCCGTTGTCGGTGCGGATTATTGAGAAGTTGATGAAGAACGACGGATGGAAGCAGCTGCAGGATTTGTTGGGTTTGCTGCCGGGGCCTACGTTTGAGGATAATCCGATTGTGTTCAATCAGCAGAATCAGAGTAGTGACTCGCCGACGGTGGTTTTGGTGTTGTTTATTGGGGGATGCACTTATGCAGAGGTAATTTTTAAATGCGTTTTGTTTGAATTGTTGTTTTTGGTTTGTTTTTGCGTGCAGATTTCGGCGTTGAGGCATTTATCGCAGATGGAAGACTCTAATGTGGAGTTTATTATTGCTACCACTAAGTTGATTAATGGTAAGACCTTCCTGAGTAACATTATCAACGTGGATCAAAAAAGTACGAAATAATAAAGATTTTAAGAGAAATGTGAGCAATTCATCTGTAATTTTAAACATTGCGGTTGGTATAGGGAAAACAAGAGGAGAGAAGGTGCTTAAGATGACTGTCTTGCTAATTCTGAGTCATTCTCAAGCTAACTTTTGTCCTATTTGTCGCAATTTTCATTCTAATTGGGAAAGAATTTGTGATATTTTCTGCAACTCCTTGTTTCAACGTCATGGCCGCCTTGTGACGTCAGATGTCAACTTCATCTTTTGCGGCAAACATACAATGGAAATTAATTTACAGGCTCATATTACAACAACAACTTAAGTATTCTCTGTGTATTAGCTTGTTACTACACTCTTTTAATGTTCATTGGTTTAATTCTGTTTTAATTTAACTAATGGCAGTTATTTTCAAAATTTGAATTATGCGCATCTTTGTTAGGCAACCCAAACAACAGCATCGACTCTATACTGCACCAACACCACTAACAACAGCTTCCAGTTTCAGTTTGTAACCTCGTATATTGTGCGGAACTCTTAAGAAAGACAACTACAATAATTGTTTAAATATTCACATAAAACACACGAATTGATGCTTCCAAAGTGAGTCTCCCTCTCACACACCGCTAAAATGGTCGATTACGAAAGTACTGGCTTGATGCCTGTGAGTATTTCGCGCTTTTCCTTTAAATTCTCATTCAAATGACAATATTAAATGAATGCTGGCAATTTTAGCAAATCCAAGCGTTGATAGCACCGCCAGTGAGCAATGAACGAGGCAGCGGCGGTCATCCACGCACGAAAAACAAACATCCGTATTTTAAAAGACATGGCAGAGGACACAATCATGATCTTTGTGATAGCTGTAATGAAGGTGGTGATCTGATTTGCTGTGACAAATGTCCCTCTAGCTTTCATCTCACATGCCAGTAAGTTTTCTCATCTTGTTCTCTTAAATTTTCATATAAAACATATTTATTTCTACTACAAGTGATCCGCCATTGGATGAGGATGATATTCCAGTTGGAGAATGGTTGTGCCATCGATGTAGAAGCACCACAGCCAAGCGGAAAAGAAGCTGTGATGATGATGACAAAGAAAAGGAAGCAAAAAAAGAAAAGGGGTGCAAAAGTATGTTGGATATGTTGATTGAGGCTGCCAGTCAGGCGAATCCAACACAATTTCAATTGCCTGCACAAATGTTGGAGCCTTGTATCTTTCCAGGCACAGATAAAGGTAAAAAAATACATTTTCTTTTGTATTTTCTTTTATATAAGTAATTATATTGTTTTTATGTAGTGGATTGTCATAAAAAACAATCCCACACATCAACAACTTCAGCAGCACCCGAAAAATGTGATAATCCCGCAACGGCGAAGTGCTACGTCTGTTCAAAAACCTGTCGGGCAGGTCTCCTCATCGCGTGCGACTTCTGCTCGCTGTATTTCCACTTGGATTGCCTAGATCCACCGCTGACTTCACCCCCGACCGATCGCTGGATGTGCCCGAATCATGTTCAACACTTTCTCGATACGCAATTACTCAAAAGCGCATCGGCAACCGAACGCAACAAACTCTGGTCGGAATTCGCCAACAATCCGGTTGATCAAGACGCGATTAAACTGGAATTCTTCCGCCGGATACACCGGAAAAATCCACCGTTTCGGTATAAAGTCAAATTGGGCAAAAGGCGGCGTGCGAAAGTGCCGGATATTGTCAAACAGCACTATAAATCTCCGATTAGTTTACTACCGTCACTCAGAGACGTCTTACGATTGAGTACGGTGCTTAGCAGAGAGGAAAATGAATATAAACGTAAATTTCTACAAGATTACGATATAAACTATGAACCGGTGCAGACAAATAATGATATACACGTTGTTGATCATGATAATCACGATATTAAAGTCGAAGATGTTGAGGTGAATGAAAAGAATGATTTGGAAGCTTGCAGCGATGATAAACATGTAGATATGGATGAGGAAACAATCGCCGGGTTGAAAGCAGCTAATATTTTCATGTTAAACGATGATTGCGCCAAGTTTCTTGACGATGTTCTCAAACAAAACGAAGAACGGATGAAATCAGCGCGTGAACAACAGAATCAAGTTGAACATGTTGAAGAAAACGGCGAGAAAACATCACAGACGCAGTCGCAATCACGATTGAGGAAAATTAAACTCGAAAAACTTGAAAATGATATAAAAAGCGAAGACAACGTTGCGAGGAAACAAAATCTCGGGTTTATTGACGTGCATGAAGGTAAACAATGTCATAGTTTCCAGATAGGTTGATTAATTGTTGATGTTTTATGTTTGGCTGTCAGTTGAAAGAGAACTGCAGCAGTTGGACGAGCGTGTGCTGAAATTACTAGCGCTGCAACGTATTCAGCAGATTTTACAGGCGCAAAGCGCGCAACAACCACCGCAGGACGTTAATCCCATCATGAATACTCTGCCGAGTCAACTGTTGACTCCAGCTGACATTGAAAGGTGATTGTTGTCAATATAAAGGTTTGATTTTTATTGAATTTAATTGTTTGTCTTTTAGAATTGCTAGAGTGTTTGCGAGTCCCAAGAGAAAACAAAAACCGCAGTCGCATTCGACAGCGTTCACGATAAATAGTCTGCGCGCACGCGCGATGCTCTGTCCGGTTGTGTCGAAGTATTTTTACAATGTGCGGAACAGCGAGATGACTGACTTGAGGCACGATGCTAGTTTTATGGGGTATCGGCCTACTGTATCAGCAAGGTTTTTATTCTCAACGCGTTTTATTTCATGAATAAAATTGTTTTTTTTTTGTTTGTTTAGGTTTCCGGATGCTTTTTCCATGCGTTATCGGAGTTTATCTATAGGACGAGGTGCTTCCAATCATCTACAACTTGATGCCTATGGGCATTGTAATAATGTCTCAGCGAAACATGCTGTGATTTTTTATGATGAGGTAAATTATCGAATTTATTTAAATTTAAAACATTTAAGGTTATTTTCTGTTTGTTTTTATTAGCATACGAAACAATACGAGTTACTAAACTACTCCATGCACGGCACGTTTGTAAACAACATCTACTTTTGCAATTACATCGCTGATCGTCCAACCCCGCCGAATACGAACCGCACCAATGACTTGGAGAAGAAAGTGCGTGAGATTGTCGAGAAGCGAAAACGTGCAATGCGACGCGGAGCGACATCTAACGGCACCGCTGCCATTTTACACGAGAAAATGATCGCCGAAGCTGTTGATTCTTCGGTGGATAAAGAATGTTCTTGTGTTAATCCTATGTCGAATGTGTCGTCACTGCCGCGACATGTACAGGACACGCCTGGCACGCCGCTGCCCCCACAGACGAATGCGAATGGTGTTGATTCGAGTACCTGCGGCTGGGAAGGACCTGCTGTGCTGCATCATGGCTCCCTGCTGCGATTCGGATGCATTTCGTTTGTGTTCTCCATTGTGGAATGTGCCAGCGTTTAAATATGAACTAATCTCTGCTATCTTTAATCATTCGGTGTACATATATAAGTAATTGTATCTCTAATTTAATTTATAATAGTCACTTTGAATTATTTGTTTGGTCTATTTCGCGTGACACTCGGTTTTTTGGATATGGTCATGGCGGTGGATTGGTGGCGCCCTCATGCGTCGAGAGAAGTTGTAGTAAACATCTGTTGATTGCGGTTTTGTGCGGCGGTTTTATGCACGACATGCATTGTTGTTTTGTGTTACGTATTAATCTTTTAAAGTTACTTGTTTAATATTTTATCTGAGCCATTATCGCGTGCAAATTTCGTTTGAGGACAGTTTACTATACAAGTTTTAAGTGATCATAACCTATTAGTACGCGTTTTTACCGTTGTGCGAAACAAACAAATAATTTTTTGCTTCAAACTCGTTTTCTATGCAAGAATTTGTTGATAATTGTATTAGTTTATCGTTTAAACTATAATGCCCACCACGCCGAAGCCGGGTACACCAAAGTGTACGCCAAAAAACAAAAAGAGTAAAAGTATTGTACACTTTGAAAGTTTTTTGCAACTTTGTATTAAAAATGTTTGTTTCAGGTCGTTCGAGAACATCCAAAGCGCATCAAACACCCGCTGCACTTCCGGCGGTACCAGAACCTTTAACCTATGAAGAAGCTCAAAAGATGGTCCAATTTGAAGTGAACAATCAAGCGCTCAGAGTGAATATCAACGACACTCTACAAATATGCAGTCGGGATGATTTCCCCGATGATGATAGCGGCATAGGAGTAAAAGAAGAGAAAGAAATCGTTCCGTTACCGGAAGCGTCATATAAAGAACTCGAAGATTATTCTGTATGCGATGCGCCTGCGCGACCCAACGCTTACATCCGTTTTATAGAAAAAAGCGTGGAAGAACTCGACGGCGAAGTGGAATACGACGTGGATGAAGAAGACACAGCATGGTTATCACTGGTAAACACAAGACGCGAAGAAGCAGGCCTCCCGACTGTTTCTGTCGACAGTTTAGAGCTGTTAATGGACCGCCTGGAGAAAGAAAGTTACTTCCAAGCGTCTGTGAGTGGTCAGACAGGATCCGTGGTGGATGACGATGCGGTTTGTTGCATTTGCATGGACGGCGAGTGTCAAAACACGAACGTTATTCTATTCTGCGATATGTGCAACCTTGCAGTTCATCAGGACTGTTACGGGGTGCCGTATATCCCAGAAGGACAATGGTTATGCCGTCGGTGTTTGCAGTCACCATCACGTCCGGTTGATTGCCGCCTGTGTCCGAATCAAGGCGGTGCGTTCAAACAAACAGACAAAGGTGAATGGGCGCATGTTGTTTGCGCGCTGTGGATACCCGAAGTACGCTTTGCAAACACCGTGTTTCTGGAACCAATTGATTCAATAGAAACCATACCGTCCGCTAGGTGGCGTCTGGTTTGTTATATATGCAAGCAGAAAGCCGGCGCATGTATACAATGTCACAAGAACAATTGTTATTCGGCTTTTCATGTGACCTGCGCGCAATCGGCAGGATTATACATGAAAATGGACACGGTGAAGGACAGCGGCGGTGAATCACAGCCTGTTTTAGTACAAAAGATCGCATATTGTGATGCGCATGCGCCGGCGGACTTTAGCGATGAAAAGCGGGAGGATATCAAGCAGAAAATGAAACAAGCGCGGAAGATGCTCGCGAAGAAACGCGGAACTGTCCCTGTTATTCTAATCCCAACTATACCTCCTGATCGTATACAGGAGATCGGTTCGCTTGTGAGTATACAGAAAAAGAATCAGTTTATTCAACGACTGATTGCGTATTGGACTTTGAAGCGACAGTTTAGGAATGGTGTTCCTTTACTTAGACGATTACAAAGCGCGCAGGGTGGTACACGTGATTCTAATACGAGTAATGTCGATACTATAGAACTCTGCAGGCAGTTGAAATACTGGCAATGTTTACGTCAGGATTTAGAACGCGCTAGGTTATTGTGTGAGTTGGTGCGCAAGCGCGAAAAACTCAAACTAGAACTGATCAAATCCTCGGAGCGTTGTTGGAATGTCCAATTCAAACCCCTAACAGCGAGTTTAAGTAATTTATTGTTTCTTATCGCGTCGAAGGATGTCAATGAGATATTCCTGGAACCCGTTGACCTTGAAGAAGTCCCTGATTATATCACGGTTGTGACGCATCCGATGGATTTGAGCACGATGCGCACCAAACTCGAATGTGGTGAATATCACTGCATAGAGGATATTGAAAAAGATTTTGAGTTGATGATTAATAATTGCTTTGAGTATAATGATAAAGATACGGTTTTCTATCGCGCGGCGGCCAAGATGCGTGATCAATGCGCTATTATCTTCAAACAAGCGAAGAAAGAATTAGAAAGCATTGGATTGGCTGATAATAAACAGGAAATCAAAGATGAGCATGAACATGAAGTTTCCAGTGTTGAGGATGTACCACAAAAGCTGGTAAACACGAAAAATGGCGAGGAGTGTTCGAAAGTTGTTGTTAATGTCGCACCAGGTGAAAATATCGCGAATATTATCGCTGCTGAATTCGAAGCGATTAAAGGAAAGAATACAGCGGATGTGAAAGATAAACTGGAGTTACTCCTGACGAAATGCGCGTTGATTAAACATAATCTCCAGAGAACTCGGAGAATGAAACAGATTCGGATGGAGATTGTACGAGTGAAGCGCGTTTTGAATCTGCAGGAGTCCGCGAAGGAGAGTCAATCCGACGGGGAGGAGCAGGAACCCATCAAGACGCCTTCCCAGCCAAGTAGTGGTTTGTTACATTAAAATAATTCATATTTATTTATTTATTTGTATATTTTCATGTAGCAGGTACTTCTCCAACCGGTGTCAATCGTAGAACAGCGGTGTTATTAACAAGAAAAGCCCAGGCTGCGTTTAAAAAACCACCGGATGATAAAGATGCAAGTCCTGATGCGCCTGCAACTAATAATACTTCATTAGGTAATAATGCGCAGACGCCGGTTGTGTCAAAAGCAAAAAAAGGTAAAGCTAAAGTCACACCGGTTGTAACTTCCACTGTAACTGGATCAGCGGTAAAAGAACCGAATGATTCCGAAAAGAAACCCGAGAAGACTAAGAATGATAAACGCGATGTGCCTGATTCTTTTCGCGTGTATCGCACAAGGCATAAAAGCTCCGGTGAGGATGAAAGTGAATCAGACAGTACATTATCCACGTGTTATTCGTTTAGTTTATCGGAAATTGATACTGATGAGGATTCTAGCGGTAGTAACTCTGAGGTAAACGATGAGGATGATGTAGAGGATGTTAAATCTGAAGTAGGTGAATCTGTTGATGGTGAAAATGCAGCGGAAAGCGTTGAGAAAGTAGCGAAAGAAACAGAAATTGAGTCTGAATCAAATGACAGTAAACTGCGCCCTCTACAGTTAGTTTGGGCGAAGTGTCGTGGTTACCCATGGTATCCAGCGCTTATAATAGATCCTGAGATGCCCAAAGGTTATGTTTATCGTGGGGTACCGCTACCCTCACCACCCGCAGAGGTTATGTCACTACGCGAGAATCACACCGATACTTTTGTATATTTAGTCTTGTTCTTCGATGCGAAACGCACGTGGCAGTGGTTACCACGTGAGAAATTAGAAATGTTAGACATGGATAAGGAGAAAGACGCCGGTAAATTAAACGAGCCACGCAAACCGACTGATCGCAAAGCGGTGAAGAAGGCGTACCAAGATGCGCAGCATTATATTGAACAAACGCGGGATGATCCCGACGAGGAAGACGAGGAGGAGAACGAGAAGGAGGTTTAAATACACATCCTTGATTTTTATAATTAAAATAATTACTATTTATTTTTCACCCTGTAGATGTTATAGAAGTTCAATACTTACAGCGCCCTCTAGGTGGAGTTTTTGTAACTGCGGGAAGGATAATCGCATGTCACGTCACTTGTTTGTACTACAGCTGTTGTTGGCGGTTGTTGCGTTAAAAAAACCCGCATCAGGAACAACCGGAAGATTCAATTAAAACATTCCTGATTGTCTGCATTCCATCGACAGCGATGTAAACCGAATTTCGTGGGTTTCGCGTGCGAAGTTTGCGTCTCACGATGAGAATTCGTTGGTTCACGCGGACGTCCCGCATCATTGCGCTATGTGCGGCGGCGAACTTTATCAACTCCGCGGACAGGGTGATCATGCCCATCGCCATCGTGCCGATGACGGATGTCTTCCACTGGACGCTGCACGCCCAAGGATGGATCCTGTCGGCGTTCGCGTTTGGCTACTTTACGAGTCAAATCATCGGCTCGCTGTTTCTGCCCTGTGTGGGGGTGAAGAATATGCTCATCAGTAGTGTATTACTATGGTCTACAGCAACATTTTTAACTCCCCTACTTGCATCGAGTTTGACTGCGCTGGTTGTATGCCGGATTGTGTTGGGATTCGCGGAGGGTCTTGGGTTGCCTACCATATTTCATCTTTTTGCGCATAGTATCCCCGTCGAGGGTAGATCACGCGCGTTTGGATACTTGATTGCTGCAGGGAGTGTTGGACAGACTGTTGCATCAGTTGTAAGTGATAATTATGTGCTGGAAATAATAAAGTAATGCGTTTTGTTGTAGTTTTGTCCGCATTTGCAATGGGAGTCATCGTTTTACTTCTTCGGAGCGCTGGGTTTCATTTGGCTGTGTCTCTGGTTGACTATGTATCCGGAAAGACCGCTTGGGGACGTGGATGAAACTATGCCCCTGCATGGTAAATCTCCACCTGTAAAAAGCAGCAAACTACCAAGCAGGACGCTGATTTACGAGCTGCTTTCAAAGCGGCCATTGTGGGCGTTGTACGTTGCGCACTTTGCGATGAATTGGGGTTCTTACATCGTCATGCAATGGTTGCCTACATATCTCAGCCGAACGCTAGGCGCAGACGCGCATTGTCTCAGCCTGACTGCAGTTCCCTACATTGTCAACTCAATCTGCGGTGTCATCAGCGGCCATCTTGCTGATTCTCTGTTATTAAACAAGAGCTGGAGTGTATTGAATGTACGCCGACTTATGACTTGCATTGGTTTGGTTGGCCCAGCGTTGTTCTTGGCGATTTTCTGCGTGGTGGATGAACGCTTCCTCGCCATAGTACTGGTTTCCGTTTCGATGGGCCTCAGCGCGTCGAACTCTGCCGGACATTTGAGTAACCACGTCGACGTGGCTCCGAATCACTCAGGAACCACGTTTGCGATTAGTAATACTCTCGCTACCATTCCGGGCATGCTGTGCGGCCCTCTGACGGCGCATATGGTAACCACAGGCGGCGGAGGTTGGGTACCAGTGTTCCTACTGTCAACGGCGATTAACCTCTTCGGCGCCATGTTTTATTTCGGCAATAGTGCCGCCACCCAGGTCATTTAAGTTCCTTATACGTATTGTGAAGGAAACACCCTGTATATATTGTAGAATATTCCTATATATATAAGATTATCTGTATTAGAATGCAATCGAGATTGATTTCTGCGTAACAACAATGCGTCCTAGCGCCTTTATTTCACATCTAGTTGATGATTTTATATAAAAATATTTGAGGTACAAGTGAAACGTGTGAATAAAGTCATTGTGTGTGTGTGTGCGGGTGAAAGGGAACAACCGAATCCAGCAGTTGTTATCCTTGCAAACGAATTCAAACTCAACTCACTTTGAATATTCACTCATTGCACTCACATTTTGTAATTTGTAATACCTACGTAGTTTTGTTAAGTTAATAATTAGATTTTGATTCATTTAGAGGGACAAAATCCTAGCTAGAATTAATTGTAGAAAACAAATACTCGCATCCATATGCTTGGAATGCATGATCATCGACGAGGCGTCTCAATGACTGTGTGAAACGCGCTCGTCTTATGTGTTTTACTCCATCTCGTGGATATATTGTCATATTGTTTGCCTAGATTCAGGCGATTACTTCACCACTACTGTTATTGGTGTTCGCGTTTCCGTTCGCCATCTTGTCGGTCTTCGCCGGTGACACTTCCACGCTGGATATATCCTTATCAAGCATCAGTTCCTGCTCGGTGCTGCTCAATGCCGGCTCGGAATCATTCCACGACTGCACATCACCGGTTCCAAACACTTGATAGAAGAGATAGGTGGAAATGGCGACGATTGCAGTGACATTGAACACCGTCCGCCATGCTGCCAGGGTATGTCCGTCTTTGGTTATGTACAACGCCGCTTGGGGGCTGAGGAAACTCGCCGTCATGTGAATGGTCTGCGCGAATGCTAATACTGGCCCGGCGAAGTTCGGCGCGATGTCGACCACATTCGCCATTGCTCCTGCATATGCTGCAGTGATCATCGTCACGGCGATGAACCACAACACCAAGATTAAGGTAATATCGCAGCCGAGGTATGGAATGAGGAATACCAGCACTCCAGGCAGCACCTGAGCTAGTGCAGTGAAGAGTTTGCGCACATTAGTAAGTGACATCCAGTTGTTGGTTACTAATTTATCCGCAACGTAGCAGAACACAACCGAAGCGAGGTATGAACAGATGAACGGCGCACCGCTGAGCACACCATTCTTCTCAATACTGAATCCCAGCACGGTTTTCATATACTGCGGGCCGGGGATGATAAACGTGTAATGCACCCAGATTCGGCCGAACGTAGTAATACCAATGGCCCAGGCAGGTAAGGATGTGAATATTTTCAACCATGGTACAGTTTTCGCTCGGGAGGCTTCATAGGTATTGATGGTATTCTCTTTTATGTACTGCTGTTCACTCAGAGAAATCCTCGGATGTGTTTCCGGACTGTCAAAGGCAAGCAGGTACCAGACCATGCACCATAACACACCAATACTACCAGTTGTATAGAATACCGAACGCCAACCAAGGGAAGCGATGAGAAAACCGCATAACGGGTAAGTAATCCCGATACCAATACTGAATCCTTGGAAGGATGACATGAATCTGGATCTTTCAGAGACAGGAATCCAATGTCCGACGAGCGCGTACATCGCCGGCCAGGTCAACCCCGAAGCAAAACCTTGAACACTTCGTAGGAATATCACGATTGCGTAGTGCGTCTCACTCGCCCATGGGATGGATAGGCTGCAGAGAGCTGTGACGAGTTGCGCGTAACCAAACACACGCTTGGTCCCGAGTTTCTGCGTTGCCAGCCCACCGACCACCTGGGATACAATGTAAGCCCAGTAGAATGATGCCAGCACATAGGATTGGACATCAGCGTTCCAATCCAAACTCCCACCATAATCCTACAAAAATTTTTTGTAGTTTTTATAATTTTTATAATAATTTTGTGCATTTTTAGATATTTTACCGTAACAGGTGTCATTTCATCCTCCACTGAAGTATCCGTATCGTAACAGTAGCGTTCCCCAAGGGTACCATTGAAATGCGGCCGTTCTGGTTCGCGTACCATGGCGACAATCGCCAGATTAATATCGGTGCGCATCATGAAGGAGACGAGGAACCCCGACCAGGATAACATGTAGAGGACAAGACGCGCTGGCACTTGCCCGAACACCCTGTAGACGAGGCATTTCGGCTCCTCGTCAATGGGATAACTCAGATCCGTGTGGTAGACTTTGTCTTTATCCATGGCGATGCGCGCTGGACTGCAAGAAGAAAAACGCATTCACTCACACTGTGGTGGTTTGAATTATGGTATATTATTCGCATTTCGCAGCGTCACATCATAGAAAATGTGCGGTGTCAGCGCCTTAAAGTGGATGGGTAATAATGACATGTGTGTAAATAAAAAGTTTGCGATTGATTCGCGTTCGCGGCGGCGTCACGCGAGATACGCGAGTTAATTTTGTTAATTGTGAGCAGAGCCTGACCTTAACATTCGTCCGCAAGCGAAATCACAATGTCTCGGACGGACTCGCATGCCGATTGTAATCATCCAGCGCACACGCTCACATTGATATATACACACATATTTTGTTTGGGAATTACGTGCGATGCATGTTTATATAACCGGTTTATTCGCATGTTTTCTTACATTTTTTACATTTTCCGATAATGCGATTATTTGCGCCGCAACACACGGAAGTTTGAATTGGCGGTTTGCAATTGTTTGCAACAAAAGACGGTCGAGTTTGAAAGTAGGCCGGTAGCAGCACACGCGCGCGCACACTTCATACAACAACCGCCGACGACTGTGCGCTGATATTACTTTCGTTTGCTTTTTGTTATAAATAATCGACATCCGCACGAGCGGTGCAGAGACGTAATAGTGTGTCAATGCCACGATTTTTCGTAATCACGAATCAATATTAAACATTCTCAAAAGCCCTCAAAATTCGTTTTATACCCGCGTGTGTTGAAATTCGCTTTCGCTTGCGCTTTTTATCTTGCGATTTGTTTATTTACACACTCGGACGATAATATTAATCACCACATTGTTAGTTATCATTCTTGATAATGTGATTCATACGCTTACAACACAACGGGAAACACTAAATGTATTACAACTAACGATTAATTCTTCAATTGTTTTTGTTTCTGCGCGTTCGTTATGCTTTTGTTTGTAGTGTTTTTTTCCTTCTTGGAATCGAAAAGTAATTTATTGATATGCACACAATGCGCGCAACATAAATAATTAACTATCGACTTATCATGTATCACACTTACCCCACTTACGTTCCGGTTTGTTTGATTGTTTTTATTATTCTATTTGGTTAATATTGTGCAATGTGCGTTATCATAGTCGCGCGCTTCCTGCATCTGCATGACGGCAGGAGTAGCGTACAGCTTCGCGCGATGAAGACGTGTACACTCGACTGTCGCGCGACATTTTGCGCGTTGTACGCCACCTAATCCAGCCGAATCATTACTGCGCCTGCTGTCTAAACCGCGCCGCCTCCCTGCGGGAATTACAGGTTAGCAGTAGTGATGACGTCAATGGTCAAAGCTGCTTTCACACACATGACTCGCACAAAGGGCATAAATCATACACACCGCCATTTTGTTGGTAATTTTTTCAACATAAATCTGTTATATAATCGCACAGGGAATAATTATTTACAAATCGACTGTCTAGGGGATTATAACATTTTCGTCCTGCTCGTGTTTCGCTTGATTTCGCGTTCGAATTTGTAGTAAAAACAAAGAAATTGAAGTTGTTGTTGGTTGATAAATTAGAATTAGCTAAGTGTTTTGGATGCTCTGGGGGAGTTTTTAGACGCGCAGCCAGTACATCTGCGAGCGTACACGGTTGTAGTCGGGCAGTTGTTCAATGGGACCAACGGCGGCAACAGCCGGACACCGGTCGTACAAGTATTTGTAGCACACGTCGCGGACATTGGCGGCGGTGATGGAATTGATGCGATGCGCCAACTCATGCGGTGGGATTCTCCTGCCGTAGCACAACAACTGCCTGCCGACATCTTCACACACCGCAGTTGACGTATCCAACTGCAGGAGGGTGTTGGCAGTGAGCAGAGCCTTAGCGCGGTTTACTTCAGCATCGGTGACGCTTGTGCATAAACGCATGAACTCCTGCTGGACGTTGAACATCATCATTTCGATCTTCAACGGGTCAGAGACAAAATACACGCCCCAGAGGCCTGTGTCTTTATAGCAGGTGTTGAAGCTTTGGTAGGAGTGGCAGAGGTCGCCCTCGGCGCTTGCACGTGCCAGAGTTGTAGCGTTTTGTTTCGCAGATGCTTGGGACCTGTCCCATGCACCCAGGAGAGTACTGGCGACCATCAGGGTGAGTGTATCTGGATCCGTCCAGCCTGCGCCTTCGACTGCAATGGCAACATGCGCCAATGGCAGGGAATCATCACGGACACGAATTTCGGAACCAGTGAAACGGCATGGTTCCAGAATGGGTACTTCTCCAGTGTAGTCATTGTTCAACTTATTCAAATGTGTTTCAGCTAACTTGGATAACTCTTCATGGTTGACACCACCTGCGCCTGCAACGACAATCCTGGATGCTTTGTAGTGATTGGTGAGGTAATCACGCAAGTCACGAGAGCTAATCGACTTGATGTTAGCTGTGGGACCCAAGATGGTGTTCGCCAATGGTGTGCCTTGGTAGGCGATGGCGTGCAAGTGGTCAAAGACTACTTCCTGCAGGTTGGATTCAACTTCTTGCATTTCTCGCAGGATAACACCGCGTTCGCGTTCAATTTCAGCCTCGCCGAGTTTGGCGTTCTGAATGATATCGGCGAGGATCTCCATTGCCTTGGGCACATCCTTGCTGAGACACTTGCTGTAGTATACGGTCTGCTCGCGGGACGTGTAGGCGTTCAACTGCGCGCCCAAGTCTTCAATTTCAATCTCCAGCTGGCTCTGGTTCCTGCTGCCAGTGCCTTTGAAGGCCATGTGTTCCATGAAATGCGCTACGCCATTATTGGATGCGTTCTCATAACGAGAACCAGCGTCGATCCAGATGCCGACGGTGGCGGTCTGGGAACCCCAGTCTTCAGTAGCAACGCGGATTCCTAAAATAATAGATTATATTATAGTAAACACCCTGTATTTGCTTAGTTTTTAGGTTAGCAAAGGTACCATTGTTCAAAGTGGTGCACTTGGTTGGTGGCACGTTAAGCAGGGCTTCGTTGGGGTTCGCCGCGGTGGAAAGGGCTGCTGCATGGTTGGAAACCTAAAAGAATCATCGAATTTTAGTATTTTTTCCGGGGTAAATTACGTAATGACGTTTAACATCTCGCGATTGTAATGAATGAGCTGTTCGGCAACCCTATTGGCGCATGTTGAATGTTCCAAAGGGTGTGAACCGAGTGGAAAATGCGTGAATTACCTTCAGAGAGACGACGTTCTTGGGTAATTTCGCCAGCGAGCGGGCCACCTTTATCAACGACGCCATGTTACGATCTCAACTGTCAGGGTATGATGATATGTTGCGTGCGCGTGAAGTGGACGAGAGAGACGAAAATGCGACTTGAGCGCAACTTGGAATTTAAAATTCGGTGTGCGCGTGCGTCGCCCAGCTCGACGACATGCGATTGATGACAAATTTGACAAATTCAAACAAATTCTTCCATCAAACCAGTTAAAACATAGACAACAATTAAGTTTATTATATTCTACAATCTTTAAATTATCATTTTTGTTGTTTTTATTATTACTTTAAAATTTAGTTTAGGTTTTCTTGTTGGTCTATGTTTGTGAGTTTGTGAAACACTATAGGCAATTCTCATACACAGAATCAGCAGCGAAACATTCACGTCGCTTCGGATTTACAAGTGAATTATTTCGGACAAAAACAATATCTTGTGATTAATTCTATTAGGAAATAGTTGTATCCAAGTATTTTTAACACTTTGCTAGTCTATTCGGCGTGTTTATTTCATCAAAATGCCTGTAAGTTAACGTTTTTCATGTCACACCCATTTTGTCTCCTCTTGTGGGTTAGTCATTTGTTTTATTTTCTGTTTTTTTGTTGCAGGCTTATCACTCGCAGTTGTTTAACTCGACGCAGGTAGTCGGAAACACCGCAATTCTTCCATTCAAAACGAGTTTCCGCGGCCCGGCGCCTCAATGTGCCGCTGCAGACATGGACATCATTGATGAATCCCTCTACTACTTCAAAGCCAATGTCTTCTTTAGAACCTATGAAATCAAGTCGGAGTCCGACCGACTTTTGATCTACATCACTCTGTACATTACTGAGTGCCTGAAGAAGTTGCAGAGATGCTCAAACAAGAGTCAGGGCCAGAATGAAATGTACACATTGGCAATATCCAGGTTTGATATTCCAGGAGATCATGGATTTCCACTTAATTCTGTTTATGGCAAGCCAGAAAGTCCTACTGATGCAGGTTAGTAGAATATTTAAAAAAATTACGCAGTTTTAAGCATAATTTGTTTATTTATAGATTTCCTGAGGACATATTTGACGCAACTACGGCAAGAGGTCGGTTTACGCGTTTGCGAGAAGGTGTTTGGAGAAGATGGCAAACCCAGTAAATGGTGGCTCTGCTTCTCCAAGAAGAAGTTCATGGACAAGTCACTCAGTGGCCCGGGTCAATAAGTATTTAATTTGCTTCATTTTACAATCGCAATCATTTTTTAAGTCAAATAATTAAATAACTATTTAAGAGAAATGAAATGTTTTTCACTAGAATTGTTTCCATTTCAAGTTCAATATTTCTTTGATCTGCACTCTGTAAACTTTTATGCATTGCAGTGCGCTACTGATATTTGTAGCTACTTTTTGTAATTCTGTATCTAACAAGCAGGTGGCGCTGTCAACACTATGAAATAGTACCTGTTATGACCAACAGTTGGCGCCACCGATACTGTTTTGGAATTTATTCCAATGTGCAACTGCTTCACGACATTCAAACCTACAAACGGCTGTTTGAGTCGCACAAAACATGGGAATTAAAGATTTGTGGAGCATCTTGCAACCGTATTGCGAACGCAAACCACTCTATGAGCTGCAAGGAAAACGCGTCGCAATTGATTTATCAGGATGGGTCTGCCAGGCACAATGTATCGCCGATTATCAAGTGCAACCGAAAATGTATCTCCGGTAAAACAACTTTTTTATTTTATTTTTATGTTCCCTTTATACAATATAATTATATTTTGTAGGAATTTATACTTTCGTACGTGTTTCCTCGTGCTACATGACGTCCAAATGGTGTTTGTGTTGGAAGGCAAAGCACCCACACTGAAATATAAAACAATTGCAGCCAGGAATGACTTGCAGTTCAAAGGAGCAGCACCCAAAGCACCACAAACACAGAGAGCTGCAACAACAGTTAAAAAAGGTAACACCAGATCAAGGTTTGATGGCATCCTGAAACAATGCAAAGAGATGTTGACATTAATGGGCTTGGCTTGTGTTACTGGCCAGGGGGAAGCTGAAGCAATGTGTGCACACTTAAACAAACAAAAGGTAAAGCAATCATTCAAATTAGAGTTAATCTAGTAAAATATCTAGTTGGTTGAAGGTTGCATAAGCCAGGACTCTGATTGTTTTGCATATGGGGCTGATATTGTCTACAGAAACTTCTCAATATCCATGCAAGGCAATCAAACATCATCCGGCGGCAGTATTGATGTGTATGATTTGAACATCAGCCGAAAAGAAATCGGTAAATCATAATAAAACATTAAATATATTATTTTCATCATGATTTAATGTTTAGTATAGATTTCGGACGGAATAAAGTGATTGCACTCGCGCTTATCTGTGGATCTGATTACAATGAAGGCGTGCACGGCGTAGGGAAAGAATCAGCGCTGAAATTCTTCTCCACTGTCGCAGACGGAAAGGTTCTCGATGAGATACGCACCTGGCGCACACATCCAGCGCATTACGATAAGCTAAACATCATCGTGAATGATCCCAAGAAGTGTGCGGCTTGTTCACACACAGGAAAAAAAGCAGCGCATACACGGTTTGGTTGTCATGCATGCAGAACCACTCAGGGGTGTAACATCAACGAAGAACACGCGAATATTCGTCTAGGTTTACAACTACGCAACAAAGCCCTGGTAAATGATGCATTTCCTGATGAAGAATTAATCGGGGAGTTCCTACACGAAAAGGAAACGATGAATCAATTGGATTTACAGTGGAGAATGCCGAATCTCGAAGGATTTATTGTAAGTTTTTATTTATTGTTATTAAAAAACATGTTTTTTACTTGTTTTGTTTAGGATTTTACTCGTAAACATCTCCAATGGCTTGAAATCTACGCGTTTGAGAAACTATTCCCTATTTTAACACGTTGGCTGGTGCATTATCATCATTCCCTCCCTAATCAGCAGATTATTACAACTCCCAGGTACATAAAAAAGAAACGCGCACCCAAAGGTATTGCATGTTATGAAATCGTATGGAATCACGAGCAGCTCCTGCCGTTAATCCCGCCGGAACAGATCGAATGCGAGCATGACAAGTTGTTTTCATCAATTGAACCACAACATCTTGTGATAAAAACATTCCCAGAGCTGGTTAAAGTATTTGAAGAGTCAAAACTTAAACCAGTCAAGCAAAAGAAGCCAAAAATGGCTGGGAAAGTAAAGAAAATCAGTGATTTTGTTAAAGTTGTTAGTAAAGATGTAACTAAAGAGTCCGAATCACTTTTTGATGATGTAGATGACGAATACGATGCGGATTTGTCGCTGATCGTCGATGAGATATGCAACAAAGGAGTGCCGCTTGTTATCAAAAAGAAAATCAACGAATTAGTGCAGGAGAATGTCAATGAAGTGAGTTTCTTTGATTTGAATATGAATGAGGATGGATTGGATGCGTTTGAGCGGTCGGTGTTTGAAATAAATTCATCCGATGATGATGATGATGATGAATATTGAAGGTAAATGTAAGTAAAATAAGTTATTCTTTATTTCTCACTTTGTGTTTGGTTTAAACATAAGAAGTATTGTACTGGCCTGTTGTTTCCTGCTCCTGCCACCTGCCCGTCGCGTCGTAGCTGTCGTGATCGTAGGAATTGAGCGGTTCCCATTCATCGTGGTCGTAGTCGAGATCATAGAGCGAAAGAATAATCTCGCGCACCTGCTGGTTATGACGGCGTTTCGCCATGCAATAAACCTGAAAATTTAATTTTGGGTTTAATTTAAAATGAGTTGAGATGATGGGGTTGTTACCAATGCGGAGAGTATCATGATGACTACCACAACAACAATAGGGATAATAAGGTACTTGATATCATTCTCTAGTTGTTTTGATGGTATTGTTGTCGATGGTGGCGGCGGCGATGTGCTCGTCATCGCGTGCCATCGTTACAGATTACCACCGGCTTGCGAACGATTCAATGCATGTCGTTGTCGGCGGGCGGTATTTTCAATTAAGTTAATTTCGATTTAAACCCGCGGCGAAGTTATCGCGCTGTCCAAACAGTTTTTGTTTGTGTTTGTATACGGATTGCAGGATTAGACGATTCATCAGCTGATGGAGGCGCAAAGTCAGTTGGTAGTGGTGTGTGTCTGTATCTAGGGAGATTTATCGTGTATAGAGTGTTGTGTTATGCATGAAAGAATATTAAGTGGTTGTAGTGTGATTTTTACTGTAGGTAGGCTTTTGTTTCAACACCTTGTGTTGCGTGTTGTAGGAATTTTAACGCAGATTTAGCAGCTTGTAAAGTCCCTAGCGTCCCTAGTTGTAGGCAAAGTGTCAAGTGTCAGCCTTCGGCCGCACTTGCAGTACTTGCACTGGGGAGCAGCATCCGGGGTGCAAATCGCAGATATTTTTGCGTGCGTGTGTTGCGAATTGTTGTGGCGCTTAATGTGACGCGCGGTCGTGTTTGTCCGCGCGGCGCGTACGCATGTGGCTGCTGTGTGGACTTGATTTGCGACGACAGACACCACATAGGCGCACCGCAAGCAGCGAGTGACTCCCGTGACTCGTCGTATTTATCGCTTTCGATCGCATTCTACATGCATAATACGCGCCTGATGGGATGCGCGGGTGCGAAAAACGTTGAGAACGCGTTGATATCGGCGAGCAAGTAGTATCTGTGCATCGCGACGCGAAGGTGAGTTTCGCTTTGCGCGTGTGTGGCTGTGCAAATAATGGCCGACCAGATGATGACAGAAGCACGGCGGAAGGAAATGTGAGAATGTCGCAAACGAGTGCGATGAATGCAACCGTCGGGATTTGATTGCCGCGATATCGTTTCGCCCGTCGTTGTATCGCACACCAGGGTGCCGCAACCATGACAAAGACGTTCGAATCCGGCGCGCATTCGGAATCCGCCTCTCTGCCGCCGCCAGCACCGAATTCAATCGAAGCACCTGCAGCTGCCAGCAGCAAGCCGCAGCCGCCGCTGCGCAGCAAAGCCGTCTACAATGCGGTGTGCACCACGTCGACGTCCACGTCCGGCTCCGCTGTGCTCATGTCCACAGCCGAGAACCACTTGAATTCGACGATGAACCGCATCAGTTTGGCGGAGGTAATTATTTCTGTTTGTTTGTTGTTGTTGCTATGGCAACCTGTGATGCTGCAATTGTTGTTTGTCGAATGTCAAAGCGATTGTGACTTGTTTGATTCGGCGTCGGACGTCACGCTGGCTTTAATGTCACCGCAAATGTCATACGCGCCGCTCGCCGTGTTCCGGTTTGCGATAAACGAATTCACGCCGATTTTGCGAGCGCCCGTCCCTCCCGAGCCAAACGTGCGCTGCTGGTGCGCCTTCCTAACCTATTTCTCCCTGCCAGCCAGCCGGAATTTCATAGTCATTGTACGGCGCGGCGCGCTTGCTGCGCTTGATTCATATCGTTATCACGAAGGTGCGTTGCTGTGTTCGCAGGAGGACTCGGTTACCAATCTGGACGAGCTGGAACTGCGCGCACTGCTCGACGAAGCCATTACCTACAAGACGCCCAAGGACAGGGAAGGCAAGAGCAAGTTATTTAATGTAAGTGCATTGAGCCCGTTGAGGTTAGGATGTGCAAATTTTTATTGGATATTTATCATCTTGTGTGTGTTTCAAGACGCTGCTGATTGACGCCGAGGATGATTTGAGAAAGGAGCACGCTCACAACGCATCGGGGCCGGCGCGACACTTTAGCAGCACAGCGAAGAAGCGCCATCGGCAACGCAGGCAGCCGTCGTCGGTGTCGGAGAATTTGACACACGGCGGCAGCCTGAACGACCTCGCCAAGCAGGAGCTCTACGAGTACGAGTCGGCGAAGGCGCAGCGTCCGAAAACGGTGAGCACGAGGCAGCGCGAAGGCGGCTCGCTGCCGTGCAACGTCAACGCCGGCGCGCCCCACGTCGACAAGGCTTACTTTATGGAGGAGCGCGCACGCCAGCAGGAGCAGCGTAGTCTGCGCACCACCGCCGGCGATATGCACTCGGCGCTTGGCATTGACTATCCGTCAGTGGAACCAGCATCAACTTTCATCAGTCAAGCATCGATTCCGATTACAGCGAATAAAGTCGATGATAACATCTCGTTTTCGCAGTTTGGATCCTATCCGGCTACCAGTATTGGCACGCAGAGCATTGCTACGCACAATGCGGATGGCACGTTGCGTACCTCGGCGTTGACTGCACGTGCAGGCCGAACGGCGCACTATGGCTCCTTTAATAGTAAGAAAGTTGACGAGAATGATAATGTTTCACAAAGCATCCCGCTTGGCGGATCGCTCGGTGCAGATGCAGGTGGTATTGCTTCTTCGGCAGCTTCCAAACGCAAGAACAAACAGAAGAAATCCCTCGAGAATGTTATCACGGCCAAAGATATCAAGGGACATCGCTCGGATATTATCGAGAATATCGATAAGTTGGTGAGTTACATTGAGGGCACCGAGGACAAGGCGAAGAAGAAGCTGCACAAGCAGCATTCACATACGCTCGCCAATGAGGATAAGAATAAGAAGCGGACGCGTAAGAAGTCCGCCACAATGCTGCACAAGTCCAACAGTATGGAGGAGATGTCCATTACGAAGCTGGAGGACTTTTCTTGTCGTTTCGAGGCGTTGGACGTCAAGGAGAAGGCACCGCTGCGGCCAACCAAGTCGAACGCTGATCGTTCATCGAGGCTTGGCAAAGGCTGGGTGGTGAGTTCCGAGCAGCTGCAGATGCCCGTGAATAACACATCCGCGGAGAACGTGGAGATTGCTGATTTCATCTACGTTACCAAAAAGAAAAAGAGCAAGAAGCGGCGGAATTCGCTTGGGAGTCGAGGTAATCCGCCGCAGTCGGTGTCCGAGACGCGTCCGGCTGAGTTTCACAGCTTGCGCGTGTCTTCTCCGCGGCGAAAAAGCGGAGCCAGCAGCGCGCCACATAGCGAAAAGTCTGCGGATTCATCTGATAATGAATCGGTGCATTCGTTGCCACTGGACGGCGAGAATAAGGCGCATCAGATTTCGTATGCGGATATAGCGAAGAGTTCCGAGCGTCCGAAGTGGAATCGTCTGCCTTCCGAGCGTCGGAAAAACGACAAACCACCGCTGGCCGAGGAGAAACCAGTGGCGGAAATACCGCAGCCTCAAGTCGCTCCCGTTGCCCCTGCCGTCGTTCAAATCCTACCACCTATCGCCGCCACAATTGCACCGCCGCCGACCACACTTACCAATTCAAATGTTGCGCCCGACTGCATTAAAGATGCTGCGGTCGCCAAGTGTTTGCCAAAGGAGAAAGAGAAGGAAACTGATACGGACTTGAGCTCGCTGCAGAACTGGCCCGAGATACGGAACAATAAGGTCAACCAAGCCAAAACAAACCTGAATTCACACGATACGACCAACTCGCATACCATGACTGCTGCGGACGCCGCTGTGGTGCTGCCAGTGCAACCGGCGGTGCAGGACTGGCCGAGTATTATTAGCAACGGCGCCAAGCCGACACCCAAACAGCATGTTGACAATAAGCCGAAGAAGGCAAAGACTAGCACCGCTCCGCAACCGCAAGTGATGCACGCGAATGTGAACGAGCATCTTCAGCAGGTACTGCAGGTGCAGGTGTCACCATCCTACGAGAGCGGCGTTTATGTATATAGGCAGAATCACGACGAGGACGACCGCGGCGAGGTGATGAGCAATCCACAGCAGGTGATACAGCAAGTGTCGGAACAATCACAGCAGCATTTGTACCAAATGCCGCCGAATATCCACGACGTGCAGACCATTGAAGAGATGCAGATTCGGTCGCTGCAAGCGGCGCAAATGTCGCCGGCGCTCGTCGTGGACGAGGAGATTGAAGCGGCGTATGTGCCCAATGCTACCGCCAGTGGCCCGGAGAAGTATCGACCAGCGGTGGTTATCCTGAGCAGTGGTGGTGATCGCCATGCCACTTCGGATATCACCTTTGGGTTTGGCATCAACGAACAATTGCTGAGCGGTGATGTTTGTGCGGATTTTGTCAGCCGCTTCCTGCAGCCGGATGTGCAAACAACGCATGTTGATCAGTTGGTTAACTATGTTGCTTCGGGTAAGTAATAATAATTAAACAAGAGATTTTATTGACTAATATTTATTGTTTATTTTATTTTTTACATATAGAATGGGAAGATATTCTGATGCAGACACACACTGGCAAAGTCAAATACTACACCGATGAGCTATCCTAATCGGCGACGTGACCGCGACGCCTCACGCAGGCAGGCCACACTCTTAACTCTACGCGGAGGGGAGCGGAAGTCGAGCAGAGTCTTGTCCTTGAAGATGGCAACACAGACTAGTCAGTTACCTACTAATACAGAAACGATTTAATCGCGAGGATTTTAACAACACGCGCGCAACACTCCTCTTAACATTAACTAAGATGATAATTGTAATTAATGTGTAAAATTATTTAAACAATACGAACTAAAACGAAGTGTTTGGAACGTGCAGGTGTGCTGGTAGCGGATAAGATATGTGTTTATAAAAATTAATACAGACGGACAGAGGGAGGGAAGGAAGGACGCAGAGGGTGGTGAAAATTGTAGAAATGTACATTGTAAAATGAGACGTTTTTTACCGCAGCCGTAGCATTCATTACGTTGTAATAAGGGCAAGTGGAAAAGGTCTCATTACTTCGACGGTGTCGAAGCAGTTGAATGAAAATGTTGGTTCCTTTTTAAATTCAAGTTGGAAGTACGCAGAATGCCAAATTATTTATTTCGAATTGCGTATTCGATTGAGTTGCGTTAGTTTCTTCACTTTCTTTTACTATTTTATAATAATCCGTTCTCAGTTTGTTTCTTCAGTTTGATTCGGTTTGTGCGCGCGTGGACGCCTCCGGCATTGGCTTGCGCCGCGTTTGTTTTTATTTTGTATTAATGATATGTTTATGATTGTTATTTATATTAAGGGCCAATGTCTCACCATTGCCAAACTGATAGCAATACTCGAGGTGTCCCGCCTACGATTTTGACTCGCTGCAAATGAATATTTGTTATTTATTGATAGCACTTATGTTACACGATACAAAATGTTAATTACTATCGAGACACGCGGCGCCCGGCTCGCGGGGAGGAAGAATGCGCAACATGCGAGAGATTGGAATTTATGTGTTTGTAAACAAGCGATGCATACATAAAAATTGTTATTGTAATATTTACGCAACATTGCAGGACCTTCCCGTCAGTGTTACTAGTATTTTATTTATACGCGCTTATCGGTGTTTGCTAGTCGCGCGTAGCGAATACTGTGTATTGGTTTGCGCGGTGCGGGCAGTCTTATCAGCGGTGGTCGCGTGCCGTCGCAGCGTACTCGACTTGCTTAGTTTTGTGCTGGCTGCCGGTGGGGTCAGGCGCGTTTCACTCGGTTCTTATCTTGTTATTTTGAGTTTCTAGTTCGGTAAATCGCGTTCATTTCGATTGTTCATCGACTGAATTTTGTTATTACTGACGTGTTTAGTGTTTTATTAGTGGATAATCGGACGTTGAATATACAAAGCAGTTAATTTTCTTTGCGTTCGTTGTGCGTATTGCAGGATGGCCGCGTGCTATGAACTTGTTTACATTGCGCTCGCGAAATACGAATTGCATGAACCTGCAACGTCTTGCAACGTTTGTTGTGATATTATCTGGACAATGAATTGGAACATGGTCAATCTACATGGAAGCAGAGATAGAACGGTAAACTGCAGACTTTCTTTATTTTAATTCACTTATTCGTGCATGCATTGTTATTGAGTGGCATAGAATTTTCAACGCGCTGTCTGTTACAGAAGCTTCAGGAACAGTGCGCGTAATCCCAGATTTGTGTTTGTGCGTGTCATACTCTTGAGCGCATTTCCTTGATTACTGTTTGTGTTATTTTTTCTTATAACACGAACGCGGTGTCACAATAAGTTCGAAATCATTTTCCCCGATGCGGAATTTATTTCTGTATCACCGTGTATTGAAATTAGTTGCCAGAAAATTCCATGACGCGAGTTATATTGATAGTTGTGTGTATACGCACTTGTACTCGTTGTGCTAGGAATTGTAGTTATTTTGCAATAACCCGCGAACGCGGTGTCACAGTAAATTCGAAATTATATTCCCAGATGCAGAATTTAATTTTCTATCTCCCAGTATTAAAATTAATTGCCAGAAAATTCCGTAACGCGAGTTATATTGATAGTTGTGTGTATACGCACTTGTACTCGTTGTGCTAGGAATTGTAGTTTTGCTATAACCCGCATTCACTTGTATATTTTGCATATTTTTGTTGCATATTTGATAAAATGGTTTTTAAGTTGGATAAATATTTTCAAAGGTTAGATGGCGCTACGATGTATGAAGTTTTGTATTACTAAATATTGCTTGTTGTTGGTAGTGAGTGCACACCGTGTCCGTGTGTGCGATCACGCGATTTCAAGTGCAAGAGATAAGTTTGTTTACCTGCAGGTATCGAATCTTTATTTCGTGGAATCAAAACACACCGTTGCTGTTTATTATATTAGCATCGTAAATTTAAACAAAATGTCTTTCAATTCTTTCTATGAATATACAGTACCGGCGTTAGGCAAGGCATGTTGACTTGGCGCTGACTCGCACTTGGCCGGTTTTTCGTATGGGGTTTGAATTGTGCAGTTAGGAGCGCCGTAGAAATCGTTCAGGGCGCTGGGTGAGTGCCGTACCCCGGCACTGGTGCCAATGCAATTCGTGCACATGCACACATTTGGGCATTTCTACTTTTCTTTACTTACTGCTGTTTGCACGGCTACGGCTTGTGCTATCGATTCAGCTAAGCAGTTTCGTGTCGGTCGTGAGCCAGCAACTCGTATTGTTTATTCGACTTCGTTTTTTAAATTTGTTATATTTACGTTATAAATCGACTATTTAATTGGTAGCTTTACTTAGGCTAATGATATTTATTATTTCCAAGTTTAATGTACATTATTGAACAAAAGTGGTAGATATTGATTGTGCTTCGTAAAATGTAAATGCTGCGCTGTTCAGTGTGAGTTGCTAAATGAATATAGGACGGCAATACTATGAAAATTTATTCATCATTATTCTCGTAAGTTACTTTTTAACTCATCAATATGTGTTATTGTATGTTTGTTCGGGATGTATGAATATATTATTATTAAATCTAATGAAATGTTTCAACTTTTCTTTTACTCTCATAACACTTTTGCTGTATATATATATATATATATATATATATATATATATATATATATATATATATATGTTGAGTAAAGTTAAGTAAACACTTATACTGTACGCTATAATTTCTGGGCCACACACGCTAAAACGATATTTTTACTAAAACTATTGTGTCAATAAAAGTATTTGTCGTCTTTTTTTGATGTGGATAGCTATTTCGACCATTAGAGTGTCTCATCAGCACACCTACTGGCTTGACAAAACCTACTACCGTACTACCTACCATTGTATTTCAATATATATATATATATATATATATATTATATAAAATCATAAATTCTAATTAATTCTTTTCCTATGCTGCGAATATTGAAAGTAAAAGTACATTTCGTGTATGCTCTATATGTTATTTCAACATTGTGATATTTTAGCTTCTCTATCTTTCAACTACGAGTTTATCAGTACGTTTGTGTATAAACAACTTTTGTTCGACTGACGCGTATTATCGCTACGTACCAGCCTTGTACCTGGCAGCAAAGCGCACAATGGCAGTCGTCGGCACCGCGTGGGCCGCGAACGCGTTCCCCAATCGCCATGCGTTTGAGGTTTTAATTGATTAATCGTCGGGTAATTTTTGACCATCAGCAAAATATTCGCAATGGGCATGTGAGTGCCTGCGTGCTGTTTTAATGATTTGTCGCGTTTAGATTCTCTTTAAATAAGAAATAAGTGTCCATCAATTTGTGCGCGTTTGTTTTCAGTTGATAGAATATATTCCAGGATATAAAAATCTCTCATCACGTATAGGTAGTGCGTAATTCATTTTTTTACGGAAAGTTACGCTGATTTAACTTAAATTTCTGATTATTCTATTTGAGTGATATGAAACCACGCTCACTTTGCCGTCGGCCGTCGGCTCTGGCCGTCTTCTTTCGCAGAACACGTGGAATGTTTTAATCAATTTGCACTTTAGCATCATTAAATTCACAAGTTTGCCAACCTGTGAAAAAATCTTGTACGTTTAATAGTTTTTCGTTTTCATAATCTCCGTACGTTTGAATATTTACAAAAAAACTTTTTATCCTCTCTAACAACTGTATTGTTACGCGCCGTCGCTTGCCGTCGCTTGCTGTCAGCTGATTTGAATGTTTTCTGCAGGATATTCTATCAATTTCTGATGATGTTTACCCGTCGGTTACTTTATGCAGTTGATGCATCAATTAATAATATACATTCGGCCAAATATATTAAAAATATTGTTGTTTCTATTTGTAAAATTTCCTCTTTATGTTGTGAATATTAGCCCCTTTGTGAAGTTTAAAGTTTTCTTTTCTGTAAATACCATGTATATTTGTGTGTTTCGTGTACTCTTTGTTTCTAATCCAGAGATTTTTCTTTCTTAAACACTCTGTATATCTATTTTTCTTTGTGTTCGTGAAAAATTTTGTTTTAAATGTTGTTTTTTTAGAGTTTTGCTCATTGCCCTTTTAAATTTTCTTTTTGTGACACCCTGTATATTAGTTTCCCGGAGCCTCGGGTGAAAACGAATGATATTTGAAGTGTTAAAATGTTTTTCTTTTCATATTAAATTTTCATTTGTAACACCTCTGTATATTTGTTTCCATTTTCAACCCTGTAGAAAAACAGGCCATTTGCTGTTCCCCATTATTCCGTAGAACTGTGCGAAGTGGTACTTGCTTTATATGTGCGCTGTTTTGCAAGTCGTCCGGTTTCATTATGGCGACATGTATTCTGTTGACATGTAAAATCTAAACTTGTATTCTATTGTCAATAAATATAGTAAGATATATTGACTTCTTTGATTTTATGTTCGTCTTCTATCATTTCAGGAACAGGTCTCTGCGAGAGTTCCCTCTCTCAGGGGATGATCCTATAAAATTGCTGGCAGTAACCTGTATGATTTGTGTGTACCTTCTCTCATTTCAGGTACAGGTCAGAACTTGTAAGAATGTTTTTAAGTGCCGCCTCTCTGAGGCGACTTAAAACTTAGGAAATATTTTTACAAATCCTTAAAAGGATGTCTTTATAAGTGAGTTTCCCTCTCTGGGTGATCCCCCAAATTATAAAATTGTTGATATGTCTGATAATTCCGGGGATGAAGCGCAGAGACATCGTAGCTGTAGGATGGGCCGTGAGCAATGGAAGAACTGAAGCAGTGGCGATCGGACCAGAGCGCCGGGAGGCGCTCTGGGACATCGACCTGTGACTGTCTTATAACGACACGTGCCAAAAAATTTAAAAATTTCATCCACCCTGCGGCTCTTTCTTCTATCTCCTCCTCTCTACTCTACTCCTCTGTTTCTTCCTTCTATCTTCTCCTATGCCCCTCTACTACTACTACTACCCTTCTCTATTTCTCTCGTTCTCTCGTTCTCCAGTTTACTTTCATACATCTCTTATTGTCTCCACTTGTATTTCAATTTTCATATATTTCTGCTGCAATTCATATATGCAACCCAAATTTCACCTGATATTTTATATTTGAGAAAATGCCTTCTATACCTGAGATTCGATCCGTGTCTGCCAGCATGCCAGCAGGCACGTCTCCACTGACCACCGAGTGTTTTTATCATTAATATTTGATTCTTCTATTTATGTTTCTTACGTTATTCAACTTTCTTTTTTAAAACAACAACACAACGCAAACAACAGTCGGTACTCGTATATTGTACACGCTCGACGCACTTAAGATTAATCCTAAAACGGCAAAGGGGAAACCAGAAAGAAATATGAAGAATTATATATCATTACATTATGTTTTATTAGCAACATTAAAATAAACATATATTGATATGCGTGTTCTAACATTTCTAAGTGACGGAAGCGGTAGACTCCCTTGGTACAAGTGCTGCTAAACTTCTTCTCAACAGGCATCACCTGTTTATTTATACCACTAAACACACAACACAAGGTGCAAGCAAACATTAAAACACAAACAACTGCAATACATAATACAAAATATTTACATATAAAAACAAATTCTACTTGC